GTTTAGCTCCGGACAGTCTATGCAACGTCTATGCAACGTCCGTGCAACAACAAAAGAACCGTCTATGCAACGTCTATGCAACGTCCCTGCACAATGAACACTCTATGCACACTCCCTGCACGGTCAGTCTATGCAACGTCTATGCAACGTCTATGCAACGTCCCTGCACAGTACCATATGAACACCGGCTACTAGCCGGCTACTAGCCGGCTAGTAGCCACTTTTGTAATATAAGCTCCTCAACTTTACATTAACAACCGGCTACTAACCGGCACTTGAAAAGTGGTCACTAGCCGGCTACTAACCGGCTACTAGCCGGCTAGTGACCACAAAGTGGCTACTAACCGGCTACTAAGCGGTCACTAGCCGGCTATTAGCCGAGCTCTAAAGCAGACCTATTACTAGCCGGTTAGTAGCCGGTTAGTAGCCGGCTAGTGACCGCTTTTCAAGTGTCGGCTAGTAGCCGGTTTGGAACTAGAAGGTCCGCTTTAGAGCCGGCTAGTGACCGGTTAGTAGCCACTTGGTGGTTACTAGCCGGTTAGTAGCCGGTTAGTAGCCGGCTAGCGACCGCTTTTCGAGTGCCGGCTAGTAGGTCCGCTTAAGAGCCGGCTAGTGACCGGTTAGTAGCCGGTTAGTAGCCACTTGGTGGTTACTAGCCGGTTAGTAGCCGGTTAGTAGCCGGCTAGTGACCGCTTTCTAAGTGCCGGCTAGTAGCCGGTTTGGAACCGGCTACTAGTAGGTCTGCTTTAGAGCTCGGCTAATAGCCGGCTAGTGACCGCTTAGTAGCCGGTTAGTAGCCACTTTGTGGTCACTAGCCGGCTAGTAGCCGGTTAGTAGCCGGCTAGTGACCACTTTTCAAGTGCCGGTTAGTAGCCGGTTGGTAATGTGAAGTTGAGGAGCTGTTATTACAAAAGTGGCTACTAGCCGGCTAGTAGCCGGCTAGTAGCCGGCTAGTAGCCGGCTAGTAGCCGGTGTTCATATGGTACTGTGCAGGGACGTTGCATAGACGTTGCATAGACGTTGCATAGACGTTGCATAGACTGACCGTGCAGGGAGTGTGCATAGAGTGTTCATTGTGCAGGGACGTTGCATAGACGTTGCATAGACGGTTCTTTTGTTGTTGCATGGACGTTGCATAGACGTTGCATAGACTGTCCGGAGCTAAACGACCAAGTTGCCAGGTCGGGAAAGATTCAACTATCCTGATGCTGATTTAAGTGACTAGTGGGGTTACAGCAGATTACACATATTGGGGTGGGAACAGAGCTAAAACAACACAACAGCAGATTACACATATTGGGGTGGGAACAGAGTTAAAACAGCACAACAGCAGATTACACATATTGGGGTGGGAACAGAGCTAAAACAGCACAGCAGCAGATTACACATATTGGGGTGGGAACAGAGCTAAAACAGCACAACAGCAGATTACACATTATATTGGGGTGGGAACAGAGCTAAAACAGCACAACAGCAGGTTACACATTATATTGGGGTGGGAACAGAGCTAAAACAGCACAACAGCAGATTACACATATTGGGGTGGGAACAGAGCTAAAACAGCACAACAGCAGATTACACTTATTGGGGTGGGAACAGAGCTAAAACAGCACAACAGCAGATTACACATATTGGGGTGGGAACAGAGCTAAAACAGCACAACAGCAGATTACACATATTGGGGTGGGAACAGAGCTAAAACAGCACAGCAGCAGATTACACATATTGGGGTGGGAACAGAGCTAAAACAGCACAACAGCAGATTACACATATTGGGGTGGGAACAGAGCTAAAACAGCACAACAGCAGATTACACATATTGGGGTGGGAACAGAGCTAAAACAGCACAACAGCAGATTACACATATTGGGGTGGGAACAGAGCTAAAACAGCACAACAGCAGATTACACATATTGGGGTGGGAACAGAGCTAAAACAGCACAACAGCAGATTACACATATTGGGGTGGGAACAGAGCTAAAACAGCACAACAGCAGATTACACATTATATTGGGGTGGGAACAGAGCTAAAACAGCACAACAGCAGATTACACATATTGGGGTGGGAACAGAGCTAAAACAGCACAACAGCAGATTACACATATTGGGGTGGGAACAGAGCTAAAACAGCACAGCAGCAGATTACACATATTGGGGTGGGAACAGAGCTAAAACAGCACAACAGCAGATTACACATATTACTAGCATATTATTGAGGCGGGAATACAGGTTATATTGGGGCGGGAACCGAGATAAACCCAGCTATAAGTTATAACATATACTAAAACAGCACAACACATGAGCAAGTAAACAAAGCTACAACTACTATACACATACCACACGGAGGTACAGGCAGCAGCTGGCTATACAAGGAGAATGTACAGCTATATAATGTACACTGTAGTGAGATGATATATACTACTATTACATCGTTTATGTGTGTTATTATAGCTTAGCGTCCAGTATTGTCAGTACACACAGTGTGCTGTATAATATATATTATATACTGTGTATATATTATATACTGTACCTACAGTGTTCATTACTTTGAGGACAATAAATATATACTGTGTATAATATAATATATATTATACTGTACAGTGTTCATTACTTTGAGGACAAGTCAACAGTTCAGTGCTTCTCAACTAATAATGTTTACCAGCAAGTATATTATACGGATAGTAACTGATATTAACCGAGTTTCTGATTCAGGATGTTACTGAAGATAGTAATGAAAATATTTTAACACCTCAGTACTGTGTATTACTACAGCTCAACCTGCTCAGTCTGACTAATTGGGAATTTAAACTCCACGGATAGTAAGTATAGTAAGTATAATTATTGTGCACATGCAAATGTGATTGTTTCGGGTGATTAAGATTTATTTTCATTAAACGCATTTATCAAGTTTGGGCTGGAGAATATCATATTATATAATTGTGCAGCAAATAAAAAAGAAGCGTAAACAAAGGCTTGTATCAAAACTGACCTATTTATAAGCAAAGTCTATATTTCAGAGTAAACTCCTTTCCCTAATAAGAGCATTTTCACTTGTCGCAACAACCGGGATAAAGATAATTTTACACAGAATACATCTATATCAGAGACTGAAGGTATATGGTAAATGCAGCTAAACAGATAATATAAATATATAACCATCCGCGAAAGTACAACTTATTGAGTTATACATTTAAGCATTTACAACTACATTCCACCAGTACAACTAATACAGCAGATCTGGTAATTATCATCATGTACAACACAATGTAGAGCTCTATGTGTATACCACGTGACTATACACTGGGTCACGTGCTGTATAAGTCACGTGACTATACACTGGGTCACGTGCTGTATAAGTCACGTGACTATACACTGGGTCACGTGCTGTATAAGTCACATGACCGACATCAAACATATTATATTCTGTTTACAGTGAATGATCGCCAGCGGGACTTTCTATATTAATGTCACTATTGTGACGGTACATTAGAACTAGACAGAAACAAAGTGTGAAGGGCCTGAACGGAACCCCTCGGTTTCAGTTCCTTGTGGTCATCGGTTTGGAGATGTAGCAAAAGTTCGTCCCCTTGTATTGTCAAAAACGTTGATTTGGTTTATTAATTATATTAAAGCGTATAAAAAAATGAGGGTCGTTTTGCACGCTTGAAGATTTGCACGTGGTTTATAGTCACGTGGTGATTACGTAATGCTTACCGAGAGCTGAGTGCATGGAACGCGGAGAAGTAATAAGTAAGTATGCGTTCATATCAATCGAGCAGTAATTAAAAGCTATAAACTCACTGCAGTACAGGATCATGTTCATAGATATCATATTATATGAAACTTTTATACTGTAGAGCTAATTAAAACTACCCCTGCGATGTTACAGTTTGACAGCGACCACTTATAATTCTATTGTGTTACCGATGCCTACCTCCTGGATCCTGACCATGCAGCTATAGTTCGAGCCTGGATCTGATTAGAACCAAGTATTTCTAAATTTCACGTTGAGCGACAGGGCGAATCAAGTACTGACATGAAATTATGATTGATCGTTTATCATTGCAAACATTACCAACTTAACTTACCGGCAAAATATCGTTAAACTGGTTCAGAGTTCAAAGTCACAGTTTAAATTTATTTCACAACTGCAATTAAATACATTTATCGGGTAAAATATATCGGGGTGGAAGCGTTTTAACCAATAACCAGGTGTACCCTGGCTCCACAATATTAATGCGAAGAATTTGTTTCACTTCATAATGAAAAGCTCAATCACAGGGTGTACTATTCCTTTATATCTTCAATTTGAATACAACATGATCGTATTAGTAGTAGCAGCAGCAGTAGCAATGTAGCATGGAACCACAAACCATGGATGAGAGATGCAGCTCCTAGCCGGAAGATATTTAATAAATGGAAGAGGATTGCTAACAATCTATACTAATGAACAGGTAGCGAGTTTGGTACGATAACTATATGCAGATAGTATACAACAAAAACTAACGTGTAACGCAAAACTCTAACAATAACATTTAGTGGTGATGTGGAAGATACTGCACGTGCGCGTGCAGTATCCCCTGCACCCCCCCCCCCCCCCCCCCCAGATTAGATTCGCGACCCGGAATCAATGAGATGATGTGGCTGGCAGCGTCTGACAATTAATGTGACACTTGACATGGGAGACGGCCCGGTTGAATCAGCCAAGGATGGTCAATAGGATCAGGATAATGAAAATTATTACCACATATTTTGTCTGTGACAGTTAATCATTTTCCAAGCAAAGATATTTGTTTAATAAATTGACTGAAGCGATAACTAGCTGTAAGGCCATGGCTCTGGACATGACTACTTAAAACTACTCGAGCTCTTGAGCATTTCGTTTTATAGTGAACGATGTACTTGATGATTCAATTAATACTTAGATACTTCATGACTCCAAAATCAAGAAAATTTCTCAACTTAGTATAATATAATTATAACAAGAAAAAGGCGTTACATAGCGGGATAAAAGTTTTTCTGAGGAAGTGGTATAATTCACATCTGATTCTGAACATATATACAAAATTTACATCATACATCAAATATTTGTGAGTGAGTGTGCTCATGATTAGTTTTAAAGTTTAAACATATATAAATACATTGAAGTGGATAATAATTTACACTTACAGCAGGCCCGTGAAGTCTCTTTTGGTGCCTTTAAAATCGTAATGACACTTGTAAATTCTGGGAAAATATTACAAAAGAGATTGATTCTCATTCCTCAATGAAGTAAAAAATACCGTTATGATCATCATAATTTTTAATCAAAATTGTGTGTAAGGCCGGAAAGGGTAACGGTCGGCCCGGCGGATATATTAATCAATTCACCTCAATTCAATAATTCTTCAATAATTGTGCGAATTACTAATTTTATTACGATCATCATTTCTTGTTAATAAATATATTCAACTAAATAACCCTTGACTTCATTTGTTAATATGAGCATGTTTCAAAATCCATCCGTCTGATATGATTACTAAAAGAATTGATCGCAAGAATTCCGATCTCAATCAGAGCTCCGCGCCGCGGTATGAACTTCGCATAAAAGCAGCTGCAGTCCGCGCTACACATCAGCCCTCATAATAGTCAGTGGAAGATCTGAGATCTCTGGAGGCGGTAATTCTTGAAATTCCTAGATGTTACTGTGCTGCAGGTTAACGATCCTAGGAAGAGCGTGGGTTATCATCTCCGGCTGGTCGTCGTCCTTGCCTCGTCTGTTGTCCCGTTTGTTCTTCTTTCCGAATATATCTTTGGAGACTGAGCGTGTTTTGCCTTTTTTGCCCGTGTCTGAAATAGAAAGGAGTGCTTGAAAATAAAGTAGAGACTCATGATGAAATAGATAAACAGGTAACTGTTATTGTACCCAATATTATTGTATCCGGAGAAAGTTTGCTGAAACATCCTAAATTAGCGCCTAAAGTTAAAGTTAAAGTTAATAAATCTAAAAAACTGACCTGATTTTGAGGCAGACTCCTCCTTTTTCACTACTTTAACAGGGGGTGGAGAAACAGAAACAGAAGGTCCCCTCTCCTTCTTTTCCTTCTGTTTGTTCTCTAATTTAGTACATTCCTTCCTGTGGCGGCTGGTCCAGGCTTTTAGTTTACACCGTTGAGAACAGAAGGAAACAGTGAAACATCTCGTACAGGGAGAAAGTTTTACGCCTGAAATATATCACCATTAGGATGGATATTGAATTTTTGGGGTACTATCAACTTATCAAGGTAGCAGGTAGAAAGTTGTAAAATCCTAATTTCGCTAGGTATATATCAATTATTAATGATTTTGTATCAACCAAATAACTAATTAATATCAACTGATCAATGAAAATATCGGCTAACCAGTGCTGCGACCACACTCGTAACAATACTTGAACAGCATCTTTGGTTTGTGTCCTTTCTTTCCCTCAGCTTCCATCAACTCTGAGAAGTGACAGATTGTAGGATTATTTTGCATGGAAAAGTTTTAAATCGGTCATGAAATATTGCCGCCAGGTTATGATGGAATCTCGAACACGGTAAACAAATAGCAAACCCTGCTCGCGACTACTTGGGCGCCTAACATATAAATTAAAGGTGAATGAAAAATGTATGCAGAGTATAATAAAGAATTACACACACATACACACGAATGGTTAAAAACTGTGGACACTTTAGATGTAGATATTTCTATTAGATGTATTTCAGGATATGGTATGTGATAAACATGCTTCGTGTGAAAAGATGATGATAGCACAAAGAAAGCACAGATCAATAGAAGGAAGATGGAGATTAGGCTTCGCTAGCGTGAAGCTCATCGTCTTTCCTTGTTGGACCATCGGTACAAGCTCTCTTACCCTGTTTTTCACCATCAGCACCCATTTTTACACCATTAGCGCCCATTTTTACAGCATCAGCGCCCACTTTTTCACCATTAGCGCCCATTTTTACACCATCAGCGCCCATTTTTTCACCATTAGCGCCCATTTTTACACCATCAGCGCCCACTTTTTCACCACTAGCACCCATTTTTACACCATTAGCGCCCAATTTTTCACCACTAGAGCGCAGTTTTTCACCATCAGCGCCCACTTTTTCACCATTAGCACCCACTTTTTCACCATTAGCGCCAATTTTTGCACGACTAGCGCGTCTGTTGGACTTTGAGGGTGTTTTCTTTAAATCACCTAATTTGTTCAATTTTAGGGAGGGGCACCAAAAGGGGAGGGGGCGCCAACAGGGGGGCGCCTTTTTCGGCAGGGGGGCGCCAACAGGCAACGTTACGCCACTGCTCCAGCACTTTCATCTTGTTCTGGACCTGCGTTAACTCTTAGTGTAAAACGACTGTCCAGACTTCCAGAGATTTTTTAGTAAATGGGTACGGAGAAAAATAATTTTGAGATATTTTAACTTTTAAGGTATTGATGGATAAATCTCAGAGCATTCGAAACATCAGATAAGCCATGTAGAACATCATTGATAATGGTAAATTGAACGGACCAAGAATGGGGCCCTGAAGTGGGGGCATCTGATTACTAACGACACCAGGCAACAGTTTGCACCCCCCTCTCCCCAGTTTTAAAGATGATTGGCAAGAGTGCCAGTATCTACAACATCAATTATATTATTAGGGTTAAGCAAAATAAATAACATGGATAGCAACAAACAAATAATACTTCTCGTCTTCGCTATTCAACCTTAGCAGGTTTCCACTCTTATGGTGTGTTAACATTATTAAAGGATACTATTTCTCATCCAACAGATTAATTCTTAAAATTTGGCTTGAACACCACCCTTCTCAAGGAAATATATATCGACTAGTGAACAAATTAGTGAACTAATTAGTGAACTAATTAGTGAACTAATTAATGGACTGATTGATTTTATCAAGTACCTGCTTCTTCTCTCATGGTCTGTTCCCGTTTCTGGACCTCGTCCCTGAGAAGTGTAGACATGTGGTTGAGGAGGTTGGTTCTGGCGATGTATATCTCCCTCTCGGCCGGGGTCAGGGCGTGGAATGGAGTGTGCGCTATTCGTTTGTCCTGTGTAGTGGGATCGGGTTATCAGGGATCCGCAATTATTTAGTGAGTGATTGTATCAGATAAAAGCCTGGATATATATGTATATTTAAAGTTTATTTCATTATCATAAGTTTCAACAAAGCTAGCTCACACTCAGCTTTTAAAAGGAACTGAAGCTTATTCAGCACTAACCTGATAGAACACATGCATAGCGTAGTCTACAGCAGTTCCCATGTGTTTCCCACTCTTTCCCACAGGAACCAAGGACATTATGTCCCCTCCCACTGTCATCAGCTGGTTTATTATTGCTGTGGGGAGGTTTAGTTAGTGGAGACACGGGGACACAATTGGGTTTAGTTAGTGGAGACACGGGGACACAATTGGGTTTAGTTAGTGGAGACACGGGGACACAATTGGGTTTAGTTAGTGGAGACACGGGGACACAATTGGGTTTAGTTAGTGGAGACACGGGGACACAATTGGGTTTAGTTAGTGGAGACACGGGGACACAATTGGGTTTAGTTAGTGGAGACACGGGGACACAATTGGGTTTAGTTATTGGAGACACGGGGACACAATTGGGTTTAGCTAGTGGTGACACGGGGACACAATTGGGTTTAGTTAGTGGAGACACGGAAACACAATTGGGTTTAGTTAGTGGAGACACGGGGACACAATTGGGTTTAGTTAGTGGAGACACGGGGACACAATTGGGTTTAGTTAGTGGACCATGAGGGGTATCAGTAGGGTCAGGATAAAAGTACAAGCTATTCCCTGGGTACAGTGAGTCCCCGCTACATCGCACCCTCCTAATATATTCTGACACAAGTTCCCACCAACTCTACCAAAACTAATATAAGGGTCTATCTCGCTGAGATCCAGAAAGTTAGTAGCAAACAGTGTGATCTCAGCTAGTCCTACAAAACACCAGAACACAAGGTACCCCGCACAGCTAACACTATATACTGACTATACAGTCCCAAAACCATGCCTCCATCAAACAACGCTATATATAAAATTTGAGATGTTATAAACTTACTGTCTTATTGTCCTCTGCTGCAAGACTGAGGTTATACTCGCTGAGAGCGATGATGAAGATGATAGCAGTTACATCGTCAAAACAATGTATTGAGTTACAGAAAATGAATAGCAGCCGGTTTACACTTTACAGAATTGCACATGATATATACATGACACAGGGGCTCCGTCACCAAGCAGACGATCGAGCAGACGAAACAGCTGACAGAGAAAATACAAGAAGTGATTCCGAGCGGGTGTAAGAAAGTAAGAAGGGTGTAAAGTATAGGTAGCTCAATGTACGAGTGTGCACGTGTGCGCGGCTCCGACGGGCACTAGTGGTAATAAATAACCATGAGCTGATATAATGATTTCCCGCCAAATATGAAACAGCTAGTACTGTGTCTTCTAGAATGTTCGCTTGGATGTTATGACAGCTTAAGACAGATATTTACTAATCCACAGTTCAAATCTTTGACGATGAAATTGTAAATGTAGGTATTATAATAGTTGAAATTTATAGATGTTTAGCTACCGAGCTGGTTGCGTGATGTTGAGAAATTTGTTGATTTCTGCACTTCCGAAACGTTAATTTTTCGAAAAGGAACGCAAAGCCGTTTCCTGTCAGTCCGACTAACATTATCAGACTGAAGAGTTTTCCCACAATCCGGTCCGGGGTCCGGAAAGCGAGTGACAGGTGTAAGATATTAAACTCTGCAGCTGCTGAGTGAGAGGTGCCTATTTGATGCTCAAACTAGCTTTTTCCTAGTTTCCGTCACACACCGAGATCGGTGTGTAATCGGTCACGTGAGGGTCGCCCGAGAGTCACGAGGTAGGGATTGAGCGCGCTTAGTGGCGGCATATAGCACGTGATATTTGCACAGCCAATTACGCGCCATATACGGTATAATCAATATATAATTGCGTGCGTGCAAGTAAATATTTTGTAAACAATGTTAGTATAAAGTTAACTTTTGCTTGGATATAAACATGCAAGTGTGAGGTAGCATAGTTGGCAGTGCACTGGTTTGTTGCTCAGATGGGTGAGAGCGAGGATTTGTCTGAACCATCCTCGAAATCGTTGTTACGTTGAAAACTGTAACTCAGCTCGATTATCATGTTACCTAGCTAGTAACTTGGTGAGAGAACAGAGAGTGGAAAACCAGACGAAAGTAAAGATGAAGTCTCGGGGACCGGGGAAGCGGCTGATGATGGGCAAGAATAATTAAAGCGCCCTAGGCCGCTCCCCAAACCAGACCAATAACACATTTTCTGAAAATTTCTAATTTTCGAGGTAAAACTAAAGGTAACATTTTTAGCGACAATATAGGCATATTTGTATGTTGTAGTAATATCATCAAATTTCTTAGATCTAGATTTCTAATTTCCTTTACGCTTTAGAACTGGAAGAACTGGTGAACCTGGTGGAGAGTGAAAGAGCTAGTTTATATGGCAGGACATGACAGGTACGGGTGCATGTTTATTGATATTCTCCCTGTTGATTTTTTATATTCACGACATAGTTGGCCTGTACGAACTTTTAAAAGGTGCCGAACTGTACGAATTTTAAAAAGCTGTCGAGGAATTTTTACCGAATTTTAAGAAAAAAAGTTTTGTTTTTTGATTACTTCAGTCCGAAAAATTGAAACCTCAAACTGTTAAATCAGATTTCTGAGTCGGACACTACAAGTTTAGGTGATAATGATAGCAAAGTTGATGTGATTTATTGCATTGATTTCCTTGATAAAGTTGAAAAGTGATTTTCATGCGTACTAATACTTCAGTTATACAATTTGTATTATTGGTCAAAACACAAAACTTAAACCCCTCATATTTCAAATTATAAAATTCTTGTAGTTAGCTTTTCGAAAATTTATGAGGCAAATTTTTCCCGAACTAATCCCGAACTTTTAAAAGGTGCCAAACTGTACGAATTTTTTACAAATTTTGTACGAACTGACCAACTATGATTCACGATGTCAATCTTTCGCAGCTCGGCGCGGCGTGGCCCAGTGGTGAATTTCGTTACTGGGCCGTGCTCAGCCTGTCATATTACCTGGGGACCCCAGGCTATTATGTTCATAAACATAATATTAAAGATTTGGCGGAATGACAGGCTGAGCGCCGCCCAGTAACCTGTCATTCCGCCTAATATCTATTCATATGATTATGAACAGAAATATAATACTAATAGCATGAGAACCCGGCAGGTTAGCAATAGCATCTCGCCGATCTTACGCCGAAATTGTGGATTGCAAAAAACATTATTTGCGCGGCCGATTAGTTCTGACGTTAGCTATAGTTACTATAGTCATAAAGGTTCTTTCACATGAACTTACCGGCAAAATATCGTTAAACTGGTTCAGAGTTCAAAGTCACAGTTTAAATTTATTTCACAACTGCAATTAAATACATTTATCGGGTAAAATATATCGGGGTGGAAGCGTTTTAACCAATAACCAAGTGTACCCTGGCTCCACAATATTAATGCGAAGAATTTGTTTCACTTCTAAATGAAAAGCTCAATCACAGGGTGTACTATTCCTTTATATCTTCAATTTGAATACAACATGATCGTATTAGTAGTAGCAGCAGCAGTAGCAATGTAGCATGGAACCACAAACCATGGATGAGAGATGCAGCTCCTAGCCGGAAGATATTTAATAAATGGAAGAGGATTGCTAACAATCTATACTAATGAACAGGTAGCGAGTTTGGTACGATAACTATATGCAGATAGTATACAACAAAAACTAACGTGTAACGCAAAACTCTAACAATAACATTTAGTGGTGATGTGGAAGATACTGCACGTGCGCGTGCAGTATCCCCTGCACCCCCCCCCCCCCCCAGATTAGATTCGCGACCCGGAATCAATGAGATGATGTGGCTGGCAGCGTCTGACAATTAATGTGACACTTGACATGGGAGACGGCCCGGTTGAATCAGCCAAGGATGGTCAATAGGATCAGGATAATGAAAATTATTACCACATATTTTGTCTGTGACAGTTAATCATTTTCCAAGCAAAGATATTTGTTTAATAAATTGACTGAAGCGATAACTAGCTGTAAGGCCATGGCTCTGGACATGACTACTTAAAACTACTCGAGCTCTTGAGCATTTCGTTTTATAGTGAACGATGTACTTGATGATTCAATTAATACTTAGATACTTCATGACTCCAAAATCAAGAAAATTTCTCAACTTAGTATAATATAATTATAACAAGAAAAAGGCGTTACATAGCGGGATAAAAGTTTTTCTGAGGAAGTGGTATAATTCACATCTGATTCTGAACATATATACAAAATTTACATCATACATCAAATATTTGTGAGTGAGTGTGCTCATGATTAGTTTTAAAGTTTAAACATATATAAATACATTGAAGTGGATAATAATTTACACTTACAGCAGGCCCGTGAAGTCTCTTTTGGTGCCTTTAAAATCGTAATGACACTTGTAAATTCTGGGAAAATATTACAAAAGAGATTGATTCTCATTCCTCAATGAAGTAAAAAATACCGTTATGATCATCATAATTTTTAATCAAAATTGTGTGTAAGGCCGGAAAGGGTAACGGTCGGCCCGGCGGATATATTAATCAATTCACCTCAATTCAATAATTCTTCAATAATTGTGCGAATTACTAATTTTATTACGATCATCATTTCTTGTTAATAAATATATTCAACTAAATAACCCTTGACTTCATTTGTTAATATGAGCATGTTTCAAAATCCATCCGTCTGATATGATTACTAAAAGAATTGATCGCAAGAATTCCGATCTCAATCAGAGCTCCGCGCCGCGGTATGAACTTCGCATAAAAGCAGCTGCAGTCCGCGCTACACATCAGCCCTCATAATAGTCAGTGGAAGATCTGAGATCTCTGGAGGCGGTAATTCTTGAAATTCCTAGATGTTACTGTGCTGCAGGTTAACGATCCTAGGAAGAGCGTGGGTTATCATCTCCGGCTGGTCGTCGTCCTTGCCTCGTCTGTTGTCCCGTTTGTTCTTCTTTCCGAATATATCTTTGGAGACTGAGCGTGTTTTGCCTTTTTTGCCCGTGTCTGAAATAGAAAGGAGTGCTTGAAAATAAAGTAGAGACTCATGATGAAATAGATAAACAGGTAACTGTTATTGTACCCAATATTATTGTATCCGGAGAAAGTTTGCTGAAACATCCTAAATTAGCGCCTAAAGTTAAAGTTAAAGTTAATAAATCTAAAAAACTGACCTGATTTTGAGGCAGACTCCTCCTTTTTCACTACTTTAACAGGGGGTGGAGAAACAGAAACAGAAGGTCCCCTCTCCTTCTTTTCCTTCTGTTTGTTCTCTAATTTAGTACATTCCTTCCTGTGGCGGCTGGTCCAGGCTTTTAGTTTACACCGTTGAGAACAGAAGGAAACAGTGAAACATCTCGTACAGGGAGAGAGTTTTACGCCTGAAATATATCACCATTAGGATGGATATTGAATTTTTGGGGTACTATCAACTTATCAAGGTAGCAGGTAGAAAGTTGTAAAATCCTAATTTCGCTAGGTATATATCAATTATTAATGATTTTGTATCAACCAAATAACTAATTAATATCAACTGATCAATGAAAATATCGGCTAACCAGTGCTGCGACCACACTCGTAACAATACTTGAACAGCATCTTTGGTTTGTGTCCTTTCTTTCCCTCAGCTTCCATCAACTCTGAGAAGTGACAGATTGTAGGATTATTTTGCATGGAAAAGTTTTAAATCGGTCATGAAATATTGCCGCCAGGTTATGATGGAATCTCGAACACGGTAAACAAATAGCAAACCCTGCTCGCGACTACTTGGGCGCCTAACATATAAATTAAAGGTGAATGAAAAATGTATGCAGAGTATAATAAAGAATTACACACACATACACACGAATGGTTAAAAACTGTGGACACTTTAGATGTAGATATTTCTATTAGATGTATTTCAGGATATGGTATGTGATAAACATGCTTCGTGTGAAAAGATGATGATAGCACAAAGAAAGCACAGATCAATAGAAGGAAGATGGAGATTAGGCTTCGCTAGCGTGAAGCTCATCGTCTTTCCTTGTTGGACCATCGGTACAAGCTCTCTTACCCTGTTTTTCACCATCAGCACCCATTTTTACACCATTAGCGCCCATTTTTACAGCATCAGCGCCCACTTTTTCACCATTAGCGCCCATTTTTACACCATCAGCGCCCATTTTTTCACCATTAGCGCCCATTTTTACACCATCAGCGCCCACTTTTTCACCACTAGCACCCATTTTTACACCATTAGCGCCCAATTTTTCACCACTAGAGCGCAGTTTTTCACCATCAGCGCCCACTTTTTCACCATTAGCACCCACTTTTTCACCATTAGCGCCAATTTTTGCACGACTAGCGCGTCTGTTGGACTTTGAGGGTGTTTTCTTTAAATCACCTAATTTGTTCAATTTTAGGGAGGGGCACCAAAAGGGGAGGGGGCGCCAACAGGGGGGCGCCTTTTTCGGCAGGGGGGCGCCAACAGGCAACGTTACGCCACTGCTCCAGCACTTTCATCTTGTTCTGGACCTGCGTTAACTCTTAGTGTAAAACGACTGTCCAGACTTCCAGAGATTTTTTAGTAAATGGGTACGGAGAAAAATAATTTTGAGATATTTTAACTTTTAAGGTATTGATGGATAAATCTCAGAGCATTCGAAACATCAGATAAGCCATGTAGAACATCATTGATAATGGTAAATTGAACGGACCAAGAATGGGGCCCTGAAGTGGGGGCATCTGATTACTAACGACACCAGGCAACAGTTTGCACCCCCCTCTCCCCAGTTTTAAAGATGATTGGCAAGAGTGCCAGTATCTACAACATCAATTATATTATTAGGGTTAAGCAAAATAAATAACATGGATAGCAACAAACAAATAATACTTCTCGTCTTCGCTATTCAACCTTAGCAGGTTTCCACTCTTATGGTGTGTTAACATTATTAAAGGATACTATTTCTCATCCAACAGATTAATTCTTAAAATTTGGCTTGAACACCACCCTTCTCAAGGAAATATATATCGACTAGTGAACAAATTAGTGAACTAATTAGTGAACTAATTAGTGAACTAATTAATGGACTGATTGATTTTATCAAGTACCTGCTTCTTCTCTCATGGTCTGTTCCCGTTTCTGGACCTCGTCCCTGAGAAGTGTAGACATGTGGTTGAGGAGGTTGGTTCTGGCGATGTATATCTCCCTCTCGGCCGGGGTCAGGGCGTGGAATGGAGTGTGCGCTATTCGTTTGTCCTGTGTAGTGGGATCGGGTTATCAGGGATCCGCAATTATTTAGTGAGTGATTGTATCAGATAAAAGCCTGGATATATATGTATATTTAAAGTTTATTTCATTATCATAAGTTTCAACAAAGCTAGCTCACACTCAGCTTTTAAAAGGAACTGAAGCTTATTCAGCACTAACCTGATAGAACACATGCATAGCGTAGTCTACAGCAGTTCCCATGTGTTTCCCACTCTTTCCCACAGGAACCAAGGACATTATGTCCCCTCCCACTGTCATCAGCTGGTTTATTATTGCTGTGGGGAGGTTTAGTTAGTGGAGACACGGGGACACAATTGGGTTTAGTTAGTGGAGACACGGGGACACAATTGGGTTTAGTTAGTGGAGACACGGGGACACAATTGGGTTTAGTTAGTGGAGACACGGGGACACAATTGGGTTTAGTTAGTGGAGACACGGGGACACAATTGGGTTTAGTTAGTGGAGACACGGGGACACAATTGGGTTTAGTTAGTGGAGACACGGGGACACAATTGGGTTTAGTTATTGGAGACACGGGGACACAATTGGGTTTAGCTAGTGGTGACACGGGGACACAATTGGGTTTAGTTAGTGGAGACACGGAAACACAATTGGGTTTAGTTAGTGGAGACACGGGGACACAATTGGGTTTAGTTAGTGGAGACACGGGGACACAATTGGGTTTAGTTAGTGGACCATGAGGGGTATCAGTAGGGTCAGGATAAAAGTACAAGCTATTCCCTGGGTACAGTGAGTCCCCGCTACATCGCACCCTCCTAATATATTCTGACACAAGTTCCCACCAACTCTACCAAAACTAATATAAGGGTCTATCTCGCTGAGATCCAGAAAGTTAGTAGCAAACAGTGTGATCTCAGCTAGTCCTACAAAACACCAGAACACAAGGTACCCCGCACAGCTAACACTATATACTGACTATACAGTCCCAAAACCATGCCTCCATCAAACAACGCTATATATAAAATTTGAGATGTTATAAACTTACTGTCTTATTGTCCTCTGCTGCAAGACTGAGGTTATACTCGCTGAGAGCGATGATGAAGATGATAGCAGTTACATCGTCAAAACAATGTATTGAGTTACAGAAAATGAATAGCAGCCGGTTTACACTTTACAGAATTGCACATGATATATACATGACACAGGGGCTCCGTCACCAAGCAGACGATCGAGCAGACGAAACAGCTGACAGAGAAAATACAAGAAGTGATTCCGAGCGGGTGTAAGAAAGTAAGAAGGGTGTAAAGTATAGGTAGCTCAATGTACGAGTGTGCACGTGTGCGCGGCTCCGACGGGCACTAGTGGTAATAAATAACCATGAGCTGATATAATGATTTCCCGCCAAATATGAAACAGCTAGTACTGTGTCTTCTAGAATGTTCGCTTGGATGTTATGACAGCTTAAGACAGATATTTACTAATCCACAGTTCAAATCTTTGAGGATGAAATTGTAAATGTAGGTATATAGTTGAAATTTAGAGATGTTTAGCTATACCGAGCTGGTTGCGTGATAATGATAAATTTGTTGATTTCTGCATCTTCAAAACTTTCTTTTTTCGAAAAGGAACGCAAAGCCGTTTCCAGTCAGTCCGACTAACATTATCAGACTGAAGAGTTTTCCCACAATCCGGTCCGGGGTCCGGAAAGCGAGTGACAGGTGTAAGATATTAAACTCTGCAGCTGCTGAGTGAGAGGTGCCTATTTGATGCTCAAACTAGCTTTTTCCTAGTTTCCGTCACACACCGAGATCGGTGTGTAATCGGTCACGTGAGGGTCGCCCGAGAGTCACGAGGTAGGGATTGAGCGCGCTTAGTGGCGGCATATAGCACGTGATATTTGCACAGCCAATTACGCGCCATATACGGTATAATCAATATATAATTGCGTGCGTGCAAGTAAATATTTTGTAAACAATGTTAGTATAAAGTTAACTTTTGCTTGGATATAAACATGCAAGTGTGAGGTAGCATAGTTGGCAGTGCACTGGTTTGTTGCTCAGATGGGTGAGAGCGAGGATTTGTCTGAACCATCCTCGAAATCGTTGTTACGTTGAAAACTGTAACTCAGCTCGATTATCATGTTACCTAGCTAGTAACTTGGTGATTGAACAGAGAGTGGAAAACCAGACGAAAGTAAAGATGAAGTCTCGGGGACCGGGGAAGCGGCTGATGATGGGCAAGAATAATTAAAGCGCCCTAGGCCGCTCCCCAAACCAGACCAATAACACATTTTCTGAAAATTTCTAATTTTCGAGGTAAAACTAAAGGTAACATTTTTAGCGACAAAATAGGCATATTTGTATGTTGTAGTAATATCATCAAATTTCTTAGATCTAGATTTCTAATTTCCTTTACGCTTTAGAACTGGAAGAACTGGTGAACCTGGTGGAGAGTGAAAGAGCTAGTTTATATGGCAGGACATGACAGGTACGGGTGCATGTTTATTGATATTCTCCCTGTTGATTTTTTATATTCACGACATAGTTGGCCTGTACGAACTTTTAAAAGGTGCCGAACTGTACGAATTTTAAAAAGCTGTCGAGGAATTTTTACCGAATTTTAAGAAAAAAAGTTTTGTTTTTTGATTACTTCAGTCCGAAAAATTGAAACCTCAAACTGTTAAATCAGATTTCTGAGTCGGACACTACAAGTTTAGGTGATAATGATAGCAAAGTTGATGTGATTTATTGCATTGATTTCCTTGATAAAGTTGAAAAGTGATTTTCATGCGTACTAATACTTCAGTTATACAATTTGTATTATTGGTCAAAACACAAAACTTAAACCCCTCATATTTCAAATTATAAAATTCTTGTAGTTAGCTTTTCGAAAATTTATGAGGCAAATTTTTCCCGAACTAATCCCGAACTTTTAAAAGGTGCCAAACTGTACGAATTTTTTACAAATTTTGTACGAACTGACCAACTATGATTCACGATGTCAATCTTTCGCAGCTCGGCGCGGCGTGGCCCAGTGGTGAATTTCGTTACTGGGCCGTGCTCAGCCTGTCATATTACCTGGGGACCCCAGGCTATTATGTTCATAAACATAATATTAAAGATTTGGCGGAATGACAGGCTGAGCGCCGCCCAGTAACCTGTCATTCCGCCTAATATCTATTCATATGATTATGAACAGAAATATAAATAAATAATACTAATAGCATGAGAACCCGGCAGGTTAGCAATAGCATCTCGCCGATCTTACGCCGAATTTGTGGATTGCAAAAATCATTATTTGCGCGGCCGATTAGTTCTGACGTTAGCTATAGTTACTATAGTCATAAAGGTTCTTTCACATGAACTTACCGGCAAAATATCGTTAAACTGGTTCAGAGTTCAAAGTCACAGTTTAAATTTATTTCACAACTGCAATTAAATACATTTATCGGGTAAAATATATCGGGTGGAAGCGTTTTAACCAATAACCAGGTGTACCCTGGCTCCACAATATTAATGCGAAGAATTTGTTTCACTTCTAAATGAAAAGCTCAATCACAGGGTGTACTATTCCTTTATATCTTCAATTTGAATACAACATGATCGTATTAGTAGTAGCAGCAGCAGTAGCAATGTAGCATGGAACCACAAACCATGGATGAGAGATGCAGCTCCTAGCCGGAAGATATTTAATAAATGGAAGAGGATTGCTAACAATCTATACTAATGAACAGGTAGCGAGTTTAGTACGATAACTATATGCAGATAGTATACAACAAAAACTAACGTGTAACGCAAAACTCTAACAATAACATTTAGTGGTGATGTGGAAGATACTGCACGTGCGCGTGCAGTATCCCCTGCACCCCCCCCCCCCCCCCAGATTAGATTCGCGACCCGGAATCAATGAAATGATGTGGCGGGCAGCGTCTGACAATTAATGTGACACCTTACATGGGTGACGGCCCGGTTGAATCAGCCAAGGATGGTCAATAGGATCAGGATAATGAAAATTATTACCACATATTTTGTCAGTGACAGTTAATCTTTTTCCAAGCAAAGATATTCGTTTAATAAATTGACTGAAGCGATAACTAGCTGTAAGGCCATGGCTCTGGACATGACTACTTAAACTACTTGAGCTCTTGAGCATTTCGTTTTATTACAGTGACCGATGTACTTGATGATTCAATTAATACTTAGATACTTCATGACTCCAAAATCAAGAACATTTCTCAACTTAGTATAATATAATTATAACAAGAAAAAGGCGTTACATAGCGGGATAAAAGTTTTTCTGAGGAAGTGGTATAATTCACATCTGATTCTGAACATATATACAAAATTTACATCATACATCAAATATTTGTGAGTGAGTGTGCTCATGATTAGTTTTAAAGTTTAAACATATATAAATACATTTAAGTGGATAATAATTTACATTAGGCCCGTGAAGTCTCTTTTGGTGCCTTTAAAATCGTAATGCTGTAATGACACTTGTAAATTCTGGAAAAATATTACAAAAGAGATTGATCCTCATTCCTCAATGAAGTAAAAAATACCGTTATGATCATCATAATTTTTAATCAAAATTGTGTGTAAGGCCGGAAAGGGTAACGGTCGGCCCGGCGGATATATTAATCAATTCACCTCAATTCCATAATTCTTCAATAATTGTGCGAATTACTAATTTTATTACGATCATCATTTCTTGTTAATAAATATATTCAACTAAATAACCCTTGACTTCATTTGTTAATATGAGCATGTTTCAAAATCCATCCGTCTGATATGATTACTAAAAGAATTGATCGCAAGAATTCCGATCTCAATCAGAGCTCCGCGCCGCGGTATGAACTTCGCATAAAAGCAGCTGCAGTCCGCGCTACACATCAGCCCTCATAATAGTCAGTGGAAGATCTGAGATCTCTGGAGGCGGTAATTCTTGAAATTCCTAGATGTTACTGTGCTGCAGGTTAACGATCCTAGGAAGAGCGTGGGTTATCATCTCCGGCTGGTCGTCGTCCTTGCCTCGTCTGTTGTCCCGTTTGTTCTTCTTTCCGAATATATCTTTGGAGACTGAGCGTGTTTTGCCTTTTTTGCCCGTGTCTGAAATAGAAAGGAGTGCTTGAAAATAAAGTAGAGACTCATGATGAAATAGATAAACAGGTAACTGTTATTGTACCCAATATTATTGTATCCGGAGAAAGTTTGCTGAAACATCCTAAATTAGCGCCTACCATAATTGAAGCTTTAAAAAAGTTAAAGTTAAAGTTAATAAATCTAAATAAACTGACCTGATTTTGAGGCAGACTCCTCCTTTTTCACTACTTTAACAGGGGGTGGAGAAACAGAAACAGAAGGTCCCCTCTCCTTCTTTTCCTTCTGTTTGTTCTCTAATTTAGTACATTCCTTCCTGTGGCGGCTGGTCCAGGCTTTTAGTTTACACCGTTGAGAACAGAAGGAAACAGTGAAACATCTCGTACAGGGTGAAAGTTTTACGCCTGAAATATATCACCATTAGGATGGATATTGACTTTTTGGGGTACTATCAACTTATCAAGGTAGCAGGTAGAAAGTTGTAAAATCCTAATTTCGCTAGGCATATATCAATTATTAATGATTTTGTATCAACCAAATAACTAATTAATATCAACTGATCAATGAAAATATCGGCTAACCAGTGCTGCGACCACACTCATAGCAATACTTGAACAGCATCTTTGGTTTGTGTCCTTTCTTTCCCTCAGCTTCCATCAACTCTGAGAGGTGACAGATTGTAGGATTATTTTGCATGGAAAAGTTTTAAATCGGTCATGAAATATTGCCGCCAGGTTATGATGGAATCTCGAACACGGTAAACAAATAGCAAACTCTGCTTGCGACTACTTGTAAATTAAAGGTGAATGGAAAATGTATGCAGAGTATAATAAAGAATTACACACACATACACACGAATGGTTAAAAACTGTGGACACTTTAGATGTAGATATTTCTATTAGATGTATTTCAGGATATGGTACGTGATAAACATGCTTCGTGCGAAAAGATGATGATAGCACAAAGAAAGCACAGATCAATAGAAGGAAGATGGAGATTAGGCTTCGCTGAAACTAGCGTGAAGCTCATCGTCTTTCCTTGTTGGACCATCGGTACAAGCTCTCTTACCCTGTTTTTCACCATCAGCACCCATTTTTACACCATCAGCGCCCACTTTTTCACCATTAGCGCCCATTTTTACACCATCAGCGCCCACTTTTTCACCATTAGCGCCCATTTTTACACCATCAGCGCCCAATTTTTCACCATTAGCGCCCATTTTTACACCATTAGCGCCCAATTTTTCACCACTAGAGCGCAGTTTTTCACCATCAGCGCCCACTTTTTCACCATTAGCACCCACTTTTTCACCATTAGCGCCAATTTTTGCACGACTAGCGCGTCTGTTGGACTTTGAGGGTGTTGCTCCAGCACTTTCATCTTGTTCTGGACCTGCGTTAACTCTTAGTGTAAAACGACTGTCCAGACTTCCAGAGATTTTTTAGTAAATGGGTACGGAGAAAAATAATTTTGAGATATTTTAACTTTTAAGGTATTGATGGATAAATCTCAGAGCATTCGAAACATCAGATAAGCCATGTAGAACATCATTGATAATGGTAAATTGAACGGACCAAGAATGGGGCCCTGAAGTGGGGGCATCTGATTACTAACGACACCAGGCAACAGTTTGCACCCCCCTCTCCCCAGTTTTAAAGATGATTGGCAAGAGTGCCAGTATCTACAACATCAATTATATTATTAGGGTTAAGCAAAATAAATAACATGGATAGCAACAAACAAATAATACTTCTCGTCTTCGCTATTCAACCTTAGCAGGTTTCCACTCTTATGGTGTGTTAACATTATTAAAGGATTAAATATTAAAGGATACTATTAAGATTAATTCTTAAAATTTGGCTTGAACACCACCCTTCTCAAGGAAATATATATCGACTAGTGAACAAATTAGTGAACTAATTAGTGAACTAATTAGTGAACTAATTAATGGACTGATTGATTTTATCAAGTACCTGCTTCTTCTCTCATGGTCTGTTCCCGTTTCTGGACCTCGTCCCTGAGAAGTGTAGACATGTGGTTGAGGAGGTTGGTTCTGGCGATGTATATCTCCCTCTCGGCCGGGGTCAGGGCGTGGAATGGAGTGTGCGCTATTCGTTTGTCCTGTGTAGTGGGATCGGGTTATCAGGGATCCGCAATTATTTAGTGAGTGATTGTATCAGATAAAAGCCTGGATATATATATTTAAAGTTTATTTCATTATCATAAGTTTCAACAAAGCTAGCTCACACTCTGCTTTTAAAAGGAACTGAAGCTTATTCAGCACTAACCTGATAGAACACATGCATAGCGTAGTCTACAGCAGTTCCCATGTGTTTCCCACTCTTTCCCACGGGAACCAAGGACATTATGTCCCCTCCCACTGTCATCAGCTGGTTTATTATTGCTGTGGGGAGGTTTAGTTAGTGGAGACACGACGACACAATTGGGTTTAGTTAGTGGAGACACGGGGACACAATTGGGTTTAGTTAGTGGAGACACGGGGACACAATTGGGTTTAGTTAGTGGAGACACGGGGACACAATTGGGTTTAGTTAGTGGAGACACGGGGACACAATTGGGTTTAGTTAGTGGAGACACGGGGACACAATTGGGTTTAGTTAGTGGAGACACGGGGACACAATTGGGTTTAGTTAGTGGAGACACGGGGACACAATTGGGTTTAGTTAGTGGAGACACGGGGACACAATTGGGTTTAGTTAGTGGAATAACAGTTCAACAAATGCCATCATACTTCATTGGTGGAACATTATACAAAATAATATCCATGTAGATTGTAGACCTACAGATGTACTATTAACAAGTCGGTGATAGATTGTAAAATCCCTAATCTATTCATGCTGAAGATATTTCATAGAAACGTTAAACTTGAAGAATGGTACATTAAACAAACCTAATCTCTGTTCGTTACTTCTCCGGTGTTCACAAGTAGTGTCCACTGCAGCACACAAAGCTGATCCAATTGGTGAACCAAGGTCCAGAGATGGGTTAGCACCTTTCTGTAGCAGTAACTCCACGGCTGGAGTGTTCGAATTTAAGGATTAGCCAAAAAGAAAATGACCGAGTCGCGACCAGATGCCGTGTTCGGAATATTAAATATCGTGGAAATCCATATGTATTTTGTGATTTGCTGCACATGGAATTGAGCTTTTGATGAGTTCGGATCACAAATCACACCTGTCCTTATTACTTTATTGGCACCGAGTCTATAATTTAAAATTCTAAATTTACCCTTATCATTTCCACTGTATATTGCCAGTGTAAGTGGAGAGTGACCACTACACACAACATTAGTATTGGCTCCGTGTTCCAGTAGGAGTTTTATCACTTCTGTGCTGTTTTCGTAGTCTTGGTCCATGGAGCATGCCACTTGGAGAGGTGTTGAGCCGAGCATGTTCCCTTCACTGAAAAATAAGTTTTAATCTCGAATTCATTATCTTCACGAATAAGATAGGCCAGGAATTGTCACATCGATCAAAACAACAAAACTACCTGTGTTGAAAATTAATAACTTAACCATGCGGTAAACATGCAAATTTTCCTTTGCGCGGCTCAAAAAAAGAATGACGATACCACCCTTTCTTCATACTTAGCGGTGTTTCCATGGCTACAAAATAACTTGCGCGCTTTTGACAGCGTGTTGAAAGAGTGACTACGTAATCTTAACAATTTGAAGAAGAGCCAACACAAGCCATTAGCCAGCGTCCAATTCAGTTGTTTAATTACATACTACTGCCTGATTTAACTGAGTGAATACAAACTTGAGGGAAAGCTAGGTTTACTGTGTTAGACTAAGCTTTACACCATCTGAAGTGTCAGTATCGATGGAAGATCTGCCAGAGTGCCAGAGAAATATGCTGTTGACATAGTGCTATAAGCTAAGGTATAAATAACTTGCTAACTTGGTGCCAAGTTTACATGCTAGACCCTAGACCTCAGTGCGGGATCCGAAAACTGTGAAAGATTAGTACTCTGATGCGCGATTAGTCGAGTGTAAGAAATTATCCATGCATATTAACATGGCGTCTTACAGTTTAGACATGCAAAAGATGATTCAGGAGACTAATGACTTTAGCACGGTTATGAATTACAAATAGACTGGATTCAGAAAACATCATACACACTCATCCTCATTAAAGCAATTTGAACCCAATTACAGTGTTTAGGGGACAGGACAAAGAGCTTGTGCCAAGTTCTCTCACTTCCGAATAAGGTATAATTCGACCTTAATTTGTTTATTTAGATATGTTTCGAATTCCTACACAGAGATGCACCGTGCACTTAATCCTTATTGAATTTCATTATCGATACCAAAACATTTCTTAACAGCTTTTACACGTTTTTTAATATGTACCTTATAAACTTGATGAGTGAGGTGATCGCAGAGCATGAGTGGGGCACATTATTTTATACATCGGTTCTTAAGATAACCCGATCTCAGATCTGACATAGTATCATATTACATCATGTACATTGTACAACAATGTGTATACAGACTTCAATGCCCGGTTCTGGTGCACTACTTACTTAGCGAATGAGTGTATACATTGTCAAGAGAGAACCGCAGTTTTCATGGGGCAATAAGGGGTCGCTCACATATTACGTAATCAGCCGAGGGGGGGGGGGGGGGGGGTTCCAAATGATTACGCTAGTGCAATTATTACACAAAATCTATGTGTAAAATTGATTACGGAGGGGGGTCAACAAACCGTGGCTGTTTCACCACTTCAAGTTATTACACAAACTTAATCAACATCAGACCACAATAACAATATCATAAGTTATAAATACCATTATTACACTGCATCAATCTGTTACACATGTAAATGCAGAGAACGACGTCTCAAGAAACAAGAATTGTTGCTATCTGATATAACAAATATAACAGATTTAGAGTACTGCACTTAAATTTTCTCTCTTCTTCATCAGTTCACGACCTTCCATATTTGCGACAAGAGAAACGCTATCTTAGGATACGAGGAGAGTGGGGACTCCTCGAACTACATTAAATATATTCCTTCTTATCTGTAACGTCCTCAATAAATAGATTTGTAGAATTGTAATTGGTGAGTAATAACGGAGATGACTGACTGAATGACTAACTGAGCGCACGTTCAGAATGCATGTGCTATTATAGTTGCTCATTACATTACTTATTTCAAGACGCATATTATCTACTCAACTTCATATTTTAAAAATACCAGGAACGGACCTTTAACAAGTTTCAGAAGCTACCCTGTTTCTGATAACCATTAACCAGGACCAGGTACAGCTTTACAATTAACATACACTCAGTTCGTTATATAAAGACGGTTAACTTTGGCGAAGGCTTTAATTTTGATCATTTTAAAGGCTTCGACGTCTTTAATTCATCACAACCCGTCTTTAAATTTGCTGGTGGAAATAAGGTCAGTGTGTGAAATGTGCTTTATTACATCCCATCTATGTTGAGACCTGTTGTGGCGTCTTTCATATTTTTAGTTTACAATTACATTAGTTTACAATTACATTAGTTTACAATTACATTAGTTTACAATGCAGTGACTGGTGGCACGAGTGTAATCATTCACTACGTCACCCGGTCTCATCTAAACTACATTCGTAGTCCTCATCAGACTTTAAACAGACTCAGTAGACCTGGTATAAAATATTTCCTTGTGTTTCACTAACCTGTCAATTTCATCCACAGTTTTCCACTGCAGAGCTCCACTTCTAGAGAATGAGAGAGAGTCCTGAACGTTCGGATCTGCTCCTCCCTGTAGCAGGAGTTTCACTATAGCTGGTCCGCCTGCAAAACAACAGAGTTATAAAGAGAAAGTGTGGTAAACATATAAAGCGAAAGCGAAAGTAAACGTCTATAATATATTAATCTACCTATTATTATTACCTATACCTAATATTGCCTCACCAGAATATATGCCTGGAATGTACTAAACAAGACAGATAGCTCTCCCTAAATTAGATTGCACGTTAAAACGTTACACTAATGAGATGATGATTGTAGGGAGCCGACACTAAAGTCTTCATCGCAAGATTTCAAGCTGTAGAGGACAAAGGAAACTTACACACAAAACCTGATGTTTGCTAGTAGTGTACACTCAACACTTAATGTAGGTGGCCGCTTTATTCTTACATGTGGCGTGTGCTGCCAGGTGGTAAGTAAAATGGAAAGTGAATCAGTACTAAGTAGAAAGTGAGTGGAATCCGAATAGGAGATTATGTACAGTGTACACTACATACAAACTATACATAGATATAATTATATCTGAAAATACAGGACTCAGTAACCAAGTAAAAAGTTATCTTTAGAAGTTAAACTATAGTGTAAAATCATAACTTAGTGGGCAATATAATAATAACAATAAGAGACGGTAAGTTGATCAAACATTACAAGAGTACAAAAGGTATCCAAAAAAGACAGAGCTGAAGTCCAGAGCTGAAGTTAACATGAAACAATAAGTCACGTACCAGGACCGTGAAGTCCAGCCGCCACGTGCAGGGGAGACTTATGTCCGTACTTCTCCCCGAGCCGCGCAGTCGGGTCAGCACCTGACTTCAGTAGCAGCTCCACTGCCTCCACGTCAGGTGCTAGTATAGCTAGGATCAGTGCAGGGACAGGGACATAGCCTATTTTTGGGTCGGCACCTCGTCTTAATAAGAGTTTGATGGTTTCTCTTAGTTGTTCTGGTGTGGGGAGTGTAGAACATTGCGGTACCTGTAGGTCAGGAGGAATTCAGAAACAAAAACAGATAAATAGAAGTTAATAACATTTTAATATATATATGACGGTAAATTTAAGATTACAGAAAAACTGAAAAAGTGAAAGTACCTGAAGATCCTTCAAAACGTCGGCTCCCCGTACAAAGTATCTTTTACCATAAACCACTACTGTGGTGTATTCAGACCCGTCAGTGGGTTCTGTAAGGGGAAATGGATTATTTTATAAAGGAGCAAGTTAGGGTAATAAAATAATATATTATCATAATATTGATATTATGGCAATTCATAAAGGGGCTTGTTGGATGTGATTTAATTTAGTGAAGAAGAATCTAATTATAACCTTATCAGTTCTCATACGACAAGTTCATATCAAAGGTATCAAAATACAACTTGTTGTATCGACTAACGCGATCAATAATGATTGCATATAATATAAATACCAATAAATAAAGATAATTAATAACCGCTGAGGGATGAGGTAACCCGTGACACTTCTCCCTGTAGTGGTACCTCTTTCTCTACTTCTTTTTCTTCCTCATCTTTAATCCCGATCTAATATATTTTGTAGTAAATGACCTACTGTCGAAGCAACATCATAAGTCAATTAATAGATCGTTTCAAAAATAAAATCGAACTGGTGAGAATAGATGTGGAAATGAAAGTGAAACTTTTGAAAGTGAAAGTGAAAGTGAAAGTACCTCCTCCTGATCCTCGTCGTCGGATTCGTTAGCTATTTTAGAGGAAAGAGCGAGCTGAGCGAACATTTCTATTGGCCCGTCTAATGTTTCATTAGCTCCAGATTTGTGTAAAGGCTCTGAAAACGTGTAAAACTGTTAGATTGGTGCATGTTCAGTGGTTAACCTTGCTTTTATTATTTAAATCCGTCAAACAGAAAAAAGTTAAAATCAACATAATAATAATACACAGGAAACAAACATAATAATTAAATATTATTATTATTAAATACGTATGTTATAATACGTATGTTATAGTACGTATGTTATAATAAACAAACAACATAATATGTTATAATAAACAAACATAATAATATGTTATAATAAACAAACAACATAATATGTTATAATAAACAAACATAATAATATGTTACAATAAACAAACATAATAATATGTTATAATAAACAAACATAATAATATGTTATAATAAACAAACATAACAATATGTTATAATAAACAAACATAATAATATGTTACAATAAACAAACATAATAATATGTTACAATAAACAAACATAATAATATGTTACAATAAACAAACATAATAATATGTTATAATAAACAAACATAATAATATGTTACAATAAACAAACATAATAATATGTTACAATAAACAAACAAAGTAATATGTTACAATAAACAAACATAATAATATGTTACAATAAACAAACATAATAATATGTTACAATAAACAAACAAAGTAATATGTTACAATAAACAAACATAATAATATGTTACAATAAACAAACAAAGTAATATGTTACAATAAACAAACATAATAATATGTTACAATAAACAAACAAAGTAATATGTTACAATAAACAAACATAATAATATGTTACAATAAACAAACATAACAATATGTTACAATAAACAAACATAATAATAATATTTAGTTACAATAAACAAACATAATAATATGTTATAATAAACAAACATAACAATATGTTACAATAAACAAACACAATAATATTTTACAATAAACAAACATAACAATATGTTACAATAAACAAACATAATAATAATATTTAGTTACAATAAACAAATATAATAATATGTTATAATAAACAAACATAATAATATGTTACAATAAACACCTACCTTTCCTGTGTCTGAGACTATACCCACACTGGGAGTTGAAGTAGAGGTGAAGATGACACGCCACCAGAGCTGACACCCCACTATCTGTCAACTGGTTCACGTTTGCTCCGTTATCTAACAGGATGTTCACTATCTTTGTTTTGCAGAATACCTGCGGGGTGCCGGAGCGTGATAAAGTGTGACGTCACGTGATTAAGTGTGACGTCACGTGATTAAGTGTGACGTAACGTGATTAAGTGTGACGTCACGTGATAAAGTGTGACGTCAGTGATTAATTGTGACGTCACGTTAGGGCTTTAGGGGTACACCGAGAATGTTTACTTTCATTTCAGTTTTAAGTGTTATGTTATACTCACGCTTGCAGCGATCAGAGGGGTAAGTCCGTTGAAATCAGCGACGTCAGGTCTTACACATGTGTGTTGAAGTAAGTAGACTGTAGCTGCGTTATCACCTGTTAGTAAAGTAGTCGTTTTATACATTTATTCGGATTTTTATTTCAGAAATAATTCAGTGTGCCTATCTTCTACCATGAAGTCACAAGATTAGATGTTGTTAAATGAGTCGTTTTTACCTTTTTTCAATTCGTCATTTCAGAAATAAATTGCCTACTATGACTTTTTATCACGCAGCCTCTCTTTCAATTGAATAAATCTTAACAATTTTAAGTTTACCTTTGAGAGCAGCGAGAAGTAAGGCTTGAGAAGCAGTCTCTAGATTTCCCATCGGTTTAGCATCCTCCGGCCTGTTACACGTAACAAACCCTTGTGTTACCTCCCTCATGTCACACGTGTCACAATCTGTAAAATCTAACGTTTTAGTTAGTGATTCAGAGGATTTGTAAAGCGTAACTTTCTACTTCTTTACTACAACAGCTGTTTTTTATATCGAGCGTTCACACTTCACAGTTCTGGGCTTACTGTTTTTGGCAAACTTTAAAATATATTTTCTTATTTCTCAAGACTAGGTTCGGACCAGAACAGCACTATAAAACACTCAATCTCCGAGTAGAAGATTATGTACACTACATACAAACTATACAGTATACATAGATATAAGTGAAAATACAGGACTCAGTATCCAAGTAAAAAGTTATCTTCAGAAGTTAAAGTATAGTGTAAAATCATAACTTAGTTGGCAATAAGAGACGGTTAGTTGGCCATTACAAGAGTACAAATCAAACTACAAAAGGTATCCAAAAAAGACACATAACAAGCCAGTTATCTACGAACCTGGTGCAGGATCCTCTATATCCAGGACACTAGCAGGAAGAACAGAGTTAGAGAGTTTCACCAGAGAGCAACCCCTCCACACACCCCTGTCTTCTGTTGTGTTCTTGTAGGACATGGCTCCTTCCCCTGACCTGTCGTCCTTTTTATACTCCCCCTGAGGTGGTGTGACGTCACGTGAGAAGGTATGGTGTCACGTGACTGGGTGGAGTCAAAACTGTGACGTCACGCATCTTTGAATGATTATGTCATGCGGGATTACATGGTATTGATATGACGGTCCTTTAGGTCGGTTTTTCAGTCTTTTATTTCAAATATTTTTCGAGGTAATTTACCTTTTTTTAAGAATCAGTTTCGAAGGGCTTTACACTGATCACCACAAACCTTGAAAATGTTGCCATTAGAAAAGAAGAACTCTCCCTGGCCATCCTTAGCATCGTCCATGAACTGTCCCTGAAACTTGTCCCCCGAGGGCCAGGTGTACGTACCAGCACCACATCTCTTATCTTCCACAAACTCACCTTCGTACACCTGCGGGTGCCGGAGAATGGGATGAGGTGTGACGTCACGTGATAAAGTGTGACGTCACGTGATAAAGTGTGACGTCACGTGATAAAGTGTGACTTCACATGATAAAGTGTGACGTCACGTGATAAAGTGTGACGTCACAGTGGGAGGATGTGACGTCACCTATATTGCACGCTAGTGATATCGTTTTATCCGTTTAAATGTTTATTATCAAACTTTCTCAAATTAATTGGGTCTGGATGAGTAGAGAAATTTTAATTGTCTGCATGTATTATATGATGGTTAAAGTAGTAAAATTATTGAATGTATCTGAGTTCTGAATATCATATCCTTGTATAGTTATATAAGCATTCCTGGAGTCAAGTTTTATTAACATTTATTCGACGGAATTCCTAACCGTGGCTCCATAACGAGACGCATGACTGCAACTCAGGCAAATACCACAGCTGTTTCTGAACAGAGAACACCCAACTTAAACTTTGAGCAGGCAATCTCGACTTTACGTATAACGAAAGGAAGCTAAAACGGGAATACTCGCAATACACTAGTTTATTGAGTGATCAATGGACGTCACATGGAGGTCACACGGAGGTCACATGATGCAACCACTATATCTGTAGATCCTTACCACATTCCGACTCACATATTTTCAGTTACCCACACATTCGTTTGTCTTCAATAAGGTTGAAACTTCCATTCCATTCTAGATCATTTAATCCGGGTTCGTTATGTTGACCTATCTGCTCATCATGAGCTTTATATGTGCTCTCCAACCAGCCATATCAGCAGCCAAAATGACAGTTACCAACGACATGGTCTTCTCAGGGGAAACTGCTACTTTGACTTGCTCGGTAACTGCTAATGAAGGTGAGACCGTGGGGGTGAAGATGTGGAAAGATTCTTCGGCTAATATAATTGGAAGTACTGCAGGTGATTCTGAGATGAATGATGTTTCGTACAGGATTGTTGATTTAGAAACTACTAGCGAGCAGGTTTTTAGTTGGGCCATAGAAGTTAAGTTGTTAACGATGGATATGTCTTTGATGTGCTGGGCATTAGTAGGCGGTAAACCGGTTGAAGAAACAGGACAGATTGATGTGGTTGGCATTACCAGTAGTAAAAACACAGTCACATTAACAGGTGAGAGTACCTCAGTTTCGTGTAGTCTCACAGGCACATCCTCTGAAGCAAGTATCACAGTTCAATGGTCTCAAAACAGCAGTCCCATAACAGGAGATGAAGGGTCCTACAGCTTGTCCACGGATTTCTTGGGTTCTGATAAGGTAGGGGTCTTCACTGCAAGTAGCATCACTTCAGATCAGACCTTCACCTGCACATTCACTGGCATTGGAGGTGGTTCTGTCAGCTCTACTGTGAATATTGATCACGTGACCATTACTCCCAACAGTTATAACGTTACAGGTGATGAGACCACCGGAACACTCTCCTGTGTCCTTTCTGGTGCAAACCAAGCTCCCATTAAAACGAAATGGCTTCGTAGTGATGAGTCTGAAATAACTGGGACTGACTCGGGGTTTGAGTTCCATTCCTCAGTGCCTTATGAGAACGGAGAAGAAACATTCCTGTTGTTTGTTGATCCTGCCACTGAGTCTAGCGAGTTTATTTGCTGCTTTGAGTTCATTGAAAATGTTGGTAAGACTGCAGTTGCTTTGCTGGAGGTCTCTAGAGAAGAGGTGATTGAGGATGAAGGAGAAGGAGAAGGAGAAGGAGAAGGAGAAGGAGAAGGAGAAGGAGAAGGAGAAGGAGAAGGAGAAGGAGAAGGAGAAGGCGAAGGTCAAGGCGAAGGCGAAGGCGAAGGCGAAGGCGAAGGAGAAGGAGAAGGAGAAGGAGAAGGAGAAGGAGAAGGAGAAGGAGAAGGAGAAGGAGAAGGAGAAGGAGAAGGAGAAGGAGAAGGAGAAGGAGAAGGAGAAGGAGAAGGAGAAGGAGAAGGAGAAGGAGAAGGAGAAGGAGAAGGAGAAGATGGAAATGGAGCGAAAGATGACAAAAGTAAGTAAAGTACAATAACACTTAATGTTTTTTCGTCTGATTGTTGGTATTGCTTCTCTTGGAAACTTAAATTACACACAACATACATTATAATTTATTTTCTTATTATTAAAAAAAAACGTTTGCAGATAACTTCCTTGTGATTCTGACGGGACTGGCGACATCTCTCCTAGTTACAAAACAAGCATTAGATGCTTAAGAGCGGAATCTCTACTTGATATGAAACAAGGCGCAAGCATTAGGTATTTGAGTAAAGACTTTAATTCATAAATATCACGAACGTGTTTCTGATCGTATATGAAGCTATTAGTTATGAACTTTTCCAAGTCTAGATTTGAACAATAAGTATTTTAGATTATTTACAGTATGGTGATTTTGTTGTTTGAGTATTTTACCCTACTTCATTTTTTAAGCATGGACAGTTTTTGAACAAAATATGTAAACATCTTCTGCACCGATTACCATTCAGTGCGCCAGTGAATATTCCGTTTTATGCTATAAAGTGAGTTGATATTTTTTGAAGTTTGAAGTGAAGAGTAATTAAGTTTCTCTATATTAGTAAATGCGAACTGTGATTTGTTTCTTTGTCAAATCTTTTAAGTTACAGAACTACAAATGTCACTATTTCCCGAAAACTATAAAATCTTACTACATTTTATCACAGTTAACACAGTGAATTTCAATTAGTTATTATTTATTATTTACTAAAATCACTCTTAATCAGTGATGATAACCGAAACTTTAAATAAATCTTAAAACTATGAAATGAAATGTAAAATATTCTCACCTCGCCTGTAGGCCACTGGTGAACTCCTTTCCCGTGTCTCTTTCCTTCTTTAAAGGGTCCCTGGTAAAATGAACCGTCCAACCACTTCTGGGTTCCCTGTCCTTCCTTTACTCCCGCATTGAAGAAACCTAGAATTTAATTAATTGATTAAATATTTAATTGTGTAATGTATACTCCTGCCAGTCAGGTTGAAACAATATAACATGCTTTTTTATAAAATTATAAAAAGATTTATCATCGATTGTTTTAACAATTTACAGACTAGCTGGGTAATTGCTTAATTAATTATAATGATAAAACCAAATGATTATGTTTTACCGTCGTATAAATCTCCGTCAGGGTAAGTCATTATTCCCCGGCCCTGTCTCTTGAAGTCCACTATCTCTCCATAATATTTAGCTCCTCCTGTAATGGGTAACTAGTTAATAGGTAACTAAGAGGTAACTAAAAGGTAACTAAGAGGTAACTAAGAGGTAACTTAGAGGTAACTAAGAGGTAACTAAGAGGTAACTGACAGGTAACTCACATTAGAACTTATGGTACACTAAAAGACTAAATGGCAGCAAACAAAATATAATGTAAAAACAAATTTGGTATTTATCTTGGTATTTATTGATATAATTCTCTTGATATAATTTTCAGCAGAATATTGTCTAATTTACCTTTGTACTCATATTTACAAGGTGGAAGGAGATGGTGAGGTAGTGTTCGTATTGAATCTCCAATCACACTCGGATCCACTGAACTTGTCATCTTTTGGTTTCACTTTTGGTTTTAATTTTGGTTTCACTTTTGATTTCACTTTTGATTTCTCTTTCTTGGTAAATCTCTATTATTCTCTTCAGTTTCTCGTCACGGTCAGAAATTATCAGTTGTTTCTATTTCTCTCTTCAGTTGTTGTTAAAATCACATCAGCTAGAAAATTAAACTTTGCTAGGGGAAGAGACAATAATTGTAAAATTTGACTTAAATTGCCATAATACTCAGTATATTTTATGAGTTAAAGAACAAAGCACATTTTAACTGTCTTGTCAGACTGTCGAAAAAATATGATTATAAAGTCTACAGAGACAGAACTATTTTTTGCGTTACATAAATTATACTTAACAGTATACAGAGTTTATTTGCGTCCAAAGCCCATGATTTCTCCTAAACAAATAAATGTACAAGCACGGATAAATAAATACAAAGATATAACAGCTGTACTACCTAAACAATAATACTTTTAAATAGTAAATATTTCGTGTACAGTAACAAGATGGCTGATAAATTAATAATTAAAAAATATTCTCAGATTCTGAGATTCAGGTTTGGTTTGCAGAATTGAATAATAAATATCATTTTTAAAAACGTAACTACGTGGCAGGTTCACTTTATTATCCAAAAAACACATGCGGAAAATTATTCAATTTAAGTTATCGTTTTTTAAGGTCATATCATAGTTCCATGCTCGTAAACTCTCGACTCGACTTAGGGCGGCTTCAACGTCCGAACAAAAGAACTTATCAAAAATGCTGGGGAAAAACTTATTAAAAATGCTGGGGAAAAAAACTTTAGACAAAAGCTACAAAAGAAAAATAATGTAATAATATCAAAAATTAACTTTTTTTCAAATCTGGAACTACTAAAAGTTAGCTAACGGTAAATTTAGTAATTAAGTTATGATGGCTACCAGCTATCTAACATTCACTCAATTCAGTTTAACTACAGTTTAAACATTTCATTACTCCGCACATTATTTTGACATCTATACAGAAAAATGTTTCTTATCTTCTCCTAGTCCTATTGTATATATTGAGTCCTATTATATATATTGAGCTAATCATATTTTCAGTCTTTTTTTTGCTTTATATCAGAAGATCTTATTATCAAGGTTAATCCATCTATTTCTTCTGATGGAATGATCTCAAATTAAAGTGTATGAGTGTACATCTGCATCAGTCATATCTATTCCCATTTCCATTTGAACCTAAGCGTTTTTCTTTTAAGAAATTAGCTTTGTCAATTCTCAGCATGTTAAGCTCGGATCCCATGATCTCGTTTCTCAGCGTCATCTGAAATTGATAAGGTTAAAAATTGATTTGTTTACCAAGCTTAATTCCATTTTGAGCATTACTCAACTTATAAGCTAAAAGTTTCATCCAGAAAAAAATGTAAAAAGGGATAAAAAACGGTACCTTCTAATTCTATATTGACTTGGGCAATATCTAAACTTTTTACACGTACGCGTTTTTAAGTGGTTAAAGATTAGTCTTTAACTTTATCAGCATTAGATTATACACGTTAAAGTTGATGCCGTGGTGTCAGTAAAATGGCACGGATAAACACATATGTATCGTCTCGCTTTATATATACTAGCAGGAACCCGTCTTACCCTAAAGTGGTGTCAAGACTCGAGAGACTAAAATAATTATTACCTATTTAATTCGCGTTTTTGACACCACTTGAGAGTCCAAATTTTGGGCACTAAAATTATTATTCCTTGGCCAATTTTTTATTTTTTCATGCTGATTCGAAGGCCATTAAAGCATTTGACCCAGTCAAAAAAGTTTCAGTTGTATATCTTTTACGGTTTTTGCGGAAAGTCGCGTTAAAGTTGATGCCGTGGTGTCAGTAAAATGGCACGGATATATACACATATATATATATCGTCTCGCTTTATATATAGTAAGATAGTAAGATTAGAACTTTATCAGCTTTAGATTATAGTAATAAATTGTGATGCCAATGACATGTTTCAAGTTTAAGATAAAATGTTGTTTAAACTTAAAGCTCGTCGTGAATTGAGTTTAAAACTTTTTAAATGCAGTCAGTTGAGAATATAGCACATCATTCGCTTCAAAGGATTGTAGGTATAAAATTTAATATATATATAATATTAGAATTTGTAAAGTTATCCATTGCAATGCAATGGAGAACTTCCACAAAATTTTGTGGAGAGGATATGTTGTGTACTCGTTTTAGCAGTATTTTAGGGTAGTATTTTAGAGCATATTATTAGTGTACGACATTTAGTACAGCAGGGTAGAGCAGAGAGTTCAGTTTAACATCTCTGTTTTGATTATCAGAGGGTTAATTTTAACACCTCTGTTTTGGTTACAAGGAGGATAGTTTAGGAATTGTTTAGAGCAGAGAGTTATGGGGAGCAGTATTTTAGCGTAGTATTTTAGGGTATATATTATTGTACGACATTTAGTACAGCAGGGTAGTGCAGAGAGTTCAGTTTAACACCTCAGTTTTGGTTAGCAAGTTTTTGGGGAGCAGAGAGTTCATTTTAACATCTCTGTTTTTATTATCAGAGGGATCATTTTAACACCTCTGTTTTGGTTACAAGGAAGATAGTTATTAGGAATTGTTTAGAGATTGCTAGAGATAGTTCATTTTAACATCTCTGTTTGGATTATCAGAGGGTGAATTTTAGCACCTTTGTTATGGTTACTTGAAGGAGGATAGTTTGGGAATTATTTAGACGTGTGGGAGATTGTTTATACTATTTAATGATATATAAGAGCGGGCCTGTAGGATGGCAGGACACACTTTTTCGTTTGAGTACCTTAGAATTATATTAACGTGATAAGGCCACCACTAGTAAATTTATTAAGATCATTTTGAGCTGAATCCCTTTACTATTACTTTGGTACATTCAAAAACGAAGTGCAAAAATGAAGGTGTTTATCGGAGTTTTGATCGTTCTGGTAGTCCTCACTTTGGCTGAAGGAGGAAACCGGTGGGCAAAGAAATGTAACAAGATGTACGAAAGGTTTGAAGGATGTTTGGATAAGGGCTACATTGGTGAGTTTAAAGCCTGTTTTAAGAGATAGATTAGCCAAAAAAATTCATCCGTTTTAAATATATATTCGTTGTATCATTGTAGGGTTTGCAACCGATATTATCGGCGATAAAATTATCGGCGATAATTTGTGAAAAAGTCATTATCAGTTATCGGCGATAATTTCTAACCGATAAACCGATAATGACAACATTTCTTTCTTCAAAAATTATTTCCAAAAAGTTCGAAATTCCGTAAAATCATCGATCAAATTTAGCGTTATTACCTCTACAGCTAACCAGCTAATTCTAACCACCCACTTTAAATCTTGATATACCTTATCGGACCTTATTTGACTAGACATTAAATGAACGGATATAATTACGAACGGACATTAAAATGAACGCTCGAGGGCATTTAAAACCACCAAAAATCCAATATTTTTCATCTTTTTTTTGCGTTCTTAAAACTTTAGCAGATAAATTTTAGCGTTAAAGGTTATCCCAAAGTGATCTGAGGAGCATATCTTATTTTTCCCCAGGACCACAGAATTTCCAACAACACCTATCATGTTACAGAAGAGAAGGTCGAGGACCTTCCCTTTCTCATGAGTGGGTTGGTTTATCATTTGTGTTAAGCCTAGATCATTGAACAGATCTATGAAACGGCCACCAAGAAGTTAAGAAGTGTGGGGGACACACCATCCGACGGACCCCACCCCCTTCCTTCGAAACTTATTTGGGTTATCAGGATCCGGGGGGTGGGATCTTTTGGATCTATCCTTCCGATATATTTTGTAGATACTATCAGGGAGGATCTCATTTTCCAGATGTTCTTTTGAAAGACAAGTCTCAGTCAGAACAATAACATCAGGCTTGTCTTCATAGATCTTAGATTGGAGCTCCATTAGTTTACCAGCATCCAGTGGCATGTTTTTGGATGCTAGGCCACTAAAGGGGACAAGCCCTCTCAGATTTTGGTACATTACCTTGAGATGACTTAGGCTATTGTTATTATCTGGACCTGGGTTAAGTATGCTTGTATTGCAAATTACAAGCAAGACTAAGTTTAGAATGGTCGTCCAGATGGTGAACATGTTAAAGGTAAACTTTTCAACGTTGGTGATGCACCGTTTACCTAACTTTAAAACAACGTTTAAACCCAACGTTGGAAAGTGTAAATTCCAACCTCAAAACAACGTTTATCCAACGAACTTTGCCAGCTGGGTCTGTGTAACACGGTGTTCAACATGATTCAACAATCAACGTACGTATTGCATATAAAGTGCATTTATATAGGTACACTTTATCGTGCGTGGATTAAATGCGGCGAAATTCTTGTTTTGTTCAAAACTCTGATTACAGGAGGAAAAATGTGGAGAGATGACATGAAATGCGGGCCTAAAAACCCTCTCTATAACGGAGACCCAGCTCAGTGCAATCCTGACCACCCAGAAGGCAAATCTTGCTGTAATCCAGAGGGCGAAGGATGGTGCGGCAATACACCGGGACACTGCTCATGTGACACCTGCATTGACTTCAGCAGTGAGTAATATTAATAGTACTATTGACAACCAACCTAGTTTGTGACTTCCAAAAAAGGAAAATATTCTCAATTTTGTTCGATAATCATATATAAGGGGTAATCGCACTATATAGTGACTTTACATATAAGGTAGTAAACTGTTAGCATGGATATGTATTAACCGAATTTGCTACTCAAATCAGTGCCATCCTTTCATTATTAAATCAAAATATGTTAAGTTATTCACATTTCACATTCCATGATTCCATTGTCATGCCTTATTGCTTATTTGTCCTGCATTTGATTATCAATCATTTTAACAGCATATGTTTCATAATGGCCAATTCCCATAGGTATCCCAAACTCCAAAGTCTCGCCCCACTCATATATATATAAGTTGTTCTAGCTGTATTAGTGTGGTGCGATGATAATAAGTGATCTTTACGTCGGTTGATCAGATGCTATACTTAAATTAAAACTTCTCACGATAAAAGTCATCTGATACACTTATATATATGACTGATGACATCATAATTAGTTTCAAAACAACATTTGATCGCTCATAATTTGCTTAAATTGTTAACTGATAACGTGCTTGGTTGTTCCCTGTCGTGTCATGTGAAAATTGTTTTATTTGATATGGCAACCAAAGAATAACAAATGGATTAACTCCAGCTCCAGACGATTGTGTTGATAAAGCGGATGAGGATGGATCAGACTACAGGGGAACTGCATCTGTCACAGCATCAGGACACGTCTGCCAGAGATGGGACTCTCAATCACCTCATAAACACAGCGTAACTCCTGAGAAGTAAGTTTTCTTGGTGCTTCTAAGGCACAACAGGTATAAGCTAGTCTCACCCACAGGCGGCCACAATACGGCATAATCCAGATTTAGATTTATTCTTATCCAGATTATTCGGATTTTGGAAGATGAGACACGTACTCTATTTAATCGAGCCTCCTAAATAATTTTACACCCAAACTTCGAAATGTTTCTAAATAAAAAGGGCTCTCGACAGAAGCCAAATTGTTAGTTACGATTCACAACACTACCTACTTTAGGAAAATAGCTTATTACAAAACATTTTCAGTTACCCTGATGCAGGACTGCAAGAGAACTATTGCAGAAATCCAGACGAGTAAGTCTTCAATATCTGATATCTGGTAGTGTTCCATAATCATTGTTATCAAGGTAGGGGCACAAACATTTATTGTAGATTTAAGTAAAATCTACAATAAAACTGCAATGAAGGGCCTTTGGAATATAAATATGATAAAATGATCTGTGAAATATCTTTTTACTTTTAGAAATTCTTCATTATAACATGTGTCGTCATTTTCCTCAGTTCACCAGGCGCCTGGTGTTTTAATGCTGAGGGATCTGGTCCTCGATGGGAGTACTGTGATAAACCTATTATATCAGACTACAGGGGAACTGCATCTGTCACAACATCAGGACACGTCTGCCAGAGATGGGACTCTCAATCACCTCATGAACACAGCGTAACTCCTGAGAAGTAAGTTTTCTTGGTGCTTCTAAGGCACAACAGGATTTGGAAGATGAGACACGTACTCTATTTAATCGAGCCCCCTAAATAATTTTACACCCAAACTTCGAAATGTTTCTAAAAAAAAAGGGCTCTCGACAGAAGCCAAATTGTTAGTTACGATTCACAACACTACCTACTTTAGGAAAATAGCTTATTACAAAACATTTTCAGTTACCCTGATGCAGGACTGCAAGAGAACTATTGCAGAAATCCAGACGAGTAAGTCTTCAATATCTGATATCTGGTAATGTTCCATAATCATTGTTATCAAGGTAGGGGCACAAACATTTATTGTAGATTTAAGTAAAATCTACAATAAAACTGCAATGAAGGGCCTTTGGAATATAAATATGATAAAATGATCTGTGAAATTTCTTTTTACTTTTAGAAATTCTTCATTATAACATGTGTCGTCATTTTCCTCAGTTCAAGTGGAGCCTGGTGTTTTAATGCTGAGGGATCTAGTCCTCGATGGGAGTACTGTGATAAACCTATTATATGCGGTGGTAAGCATTTTGATCTTCAAACTAAATCATAAATTATACTCATAATTATATTATAGCAGAGATCATGTGTGGTTCACCCTGATTTTTTTGTTGTGAAACTTGGTTTCGAGATAGCAGTTGACCAAGAAACTAGTACCAGTGACCGAACTTTTGAGGGGGTCTCCGACCCCAACCGCCAAACGGTGCCCGCGGGGCAGGCACGCCCATATTTGGTCCAAATTAGGCCCAATTTAGCCAAATACCCTGAACATGCCCAAACCCCAGATTTTAGGTGCTCTACTTGTAGCTAGTGGTCCCCTGAACTCGTATATGAATATTCATCAAGATTGGACAAATTCTGAAATTTGCCGGGCATTTTTTAGAATTTGGCCGCCAAATTTTTTAAAGGCCTAACTCAAAATTCCATTATATTAAAACTTAAGGTCGAAATGCGATTCTACGTTGATTCTTAAATTTCATGCAAAAATATTGAAACCCTATTGAGTTCTATTGTTTTGAGCGAAATCAGTTCTGCAAATATCGCGAACTGAGATATGGACGATTTTGTTCATTTTTTGCGATTATTCATTATTTTATTTGAACACAGAATCCACAGTTAGGTAGAATGTAGATACTGACTGAGCTGATAATCATAGAGAATGAGAGAATGTGTAGTATTATAAGCTTACCTTCCGTATAAAGTTGGTTTCATTCAAAAATATTAATATTTGACTAATTTTTGGGACAAAATCTATCAAATTTGGTGCGTATGCCCAAATATGGTCATATGGATTTAGGCTCATAACTCAGTCATTTTTTGTCCAATCTTGGTGAAAATTCATATACGAGTTCAGGGGACTACTACCTACAAGTAGAGCAAATTAAACCTGGGTTTTGGGCATGTTAAGGGTATTTGGCTAAATTGGACCTAATTTGGACCAAATATATGGTCCAAAATTAGGGACCTAATTTGGACCAAATATGGGCGTGGCTGCCCCGCAGGCACCGTTTGGTGGTTGGAGTCCGGGACCCCCTCAAAAGACCCCCCCCCCCCCCCCCCCTTAAGAAAAAGGGTATTTTAAGAGAAGCACCGCATCTAGTTGCTAGGTGCTTTTTTAAGAGAAGCACCGCATCTAGTTGCTAGGTGCTTTTTTAAGAGAAGCACCGTAGCACAGCTTCAGATCTTGACTGATCTGCTGGGTGTGGATGAAATGCTGTTTAATATCTAGCTGTCACTTAAGGAACTATCTGATACTGACGTTGTATTTTTATCCTTAGAATCTGTAGAATCAGAACCTGAGGAAGCACAACTAAGTAAGAAAGAGTTGAGGAAGTGCGCAAGAGTCGAGAGAAACCTTTGGAAGAAATGTCCCTGAAGCTGCTGCTGCCGAAGCCACTGAGGAGATGACCACGTGATGCCAGTATAAAGAGATGACCATAAAGTTAATGTTGCATGTAAAGTTTATATTTTTAGAATTAGTTAACTGTTTAAGCTTTTAGGATAATTCGCCATGTTGTGGTAATTGTTATAGAATATTGACATTTAAAATGTGATTTCATTGAACCATATTATATTATTTTTGTGGTTTTAGACTTTTTGCAACCATTTCCAATCGTATCGAGCCTTCAAATTATTATAATTTAAAATTTAAAATTGTAATTCAGTTAACTTGTAACAATGATTATCAGCAATTTTCTGTCAATTACTTTGCAATACTATTATGATTCTCCAGACTTAGTGATAGTGAGTGCGACGTTACAATTTAAAAATACAAGTTTAATAATTTATAGTTTCTCATTCTTCAGTTTAAGTTCCCTTCTTTATGATCAATTGATCATTTAATCCAGTGGAATGTAACTTGAGGTATATAAGTATATACGAAGTACACGTCCCGGCTTGAGCCTTTGAAAACTGTCAAGTTTGGAGTTTCCATAATAATTGAAGGTCATGATTGGCCAATTTAATCTTCACGTGAACTTATTTTTATCTAAATCTATTCAAACAATACATAATTATACAGAAATGAATGCTTCTAAATAAATCCAGATATAAAAGGAGAAAACCGATATAGCCCAAATTTCCAGTAGCCCAGTATATCGAAACCCAAATCAATAAATAATAACCCTAACGACCTCTACATTTACCACATTAAACTTGTTCAGCTACAACACCTCCTGTATGATAATAATGGAAAAGTGGATTGCTTTTAAGGTCTAACCAAATTTATAATGCGATTTGGTTGTGCTTATACCTTAAAAAGCCCCGACCAGAACTGTAACATATAAATAATAATAATAAATTGAATTATAAACACTGCTTTTAAGTTGTAAAACTTATACTCAGCTGTGTGAGAACAACTACAAAAGAACAAACTGAGATACGTGCCACAAAAACTCTATCCTAAATTAACAGCCTTCCCGTCAATAAACAATATAATAATATAACTCAGTAACCTAGAGTCTCGAGTTCATGAAAAATAGAGTACTTAGAAATATATTTTATTATCAATTTATTATAATATAATAGACAAAAGGTCTACTGAATTGGGGTTCTTTTCATGCGTATAAAGTATATTTGACGCTAATATTATATCATTATGATCTCGATTCGATTACTTATCTTTACAAACACTTACTTATAATGAGTGATGATTATCCCATTAAATTATAAGTGGAAGGTAATAAAAACGTATTCAAATTATATATTACATAAATTCCCACAATTTCTTTTTTACCTTCTTGAAAACTATTGATCGAAAGGCTGATTTTGAATAAGGTATTACTAGCTTACTAGACACTATTATAAATGATAGCAATGATAATCGAAACTGGAAATAAATCATAAAACTATGAAATGAAACGTAAAATATTGTTTGAAAATCTCCTCACCTCGCCAGTAGGCCACTGGTGAACTCCTTTCCCGTGTCTCTTTCCTTCTTTAAAGGGTCCCTGGTAAAATGAACCGTCCAACCACTTCTGGGTTCCCTGTCCTTCCTTTACTCCCGCATTAAAGAAACCTAGAAAATAATTTAATTGATTAGATATTTAATTGTGTAATACATATAATACTCCTGCCAGTCAGCAGGTTGAAACAATATGGCATGCTTTTTTTCGAAATATACCGAATAAGTGAACGTACCTTAAAAACGAAATTTGGTCAATAATGTAGTTGTAAAGTAAAAAGATTAATTATGTTTAGAGTTCAAAAATAATTTTGCATTATATGCGACCAAGGGAAATTGCTCTTACTGTCCTTTTTGGATTCTATGAGACAACGGACGTGTTTTTTGGGACATGAGCGGACATTGACGGACATTGACGGACATTGACGGACATTGACGGACAAACATTATGATAATTTTTCTCGCATAATTTGGACCATTGGAAGGAGCCTATATTAATTATAAGAAGCATAATATATTCATAACCTATCGAGTATCAAGGTATCCCCTTTGCGATTCAATCTAGGAAAACATGCCTCCCCTTTGCAAACCGAACTCGGAATCGGGAGCTCTACTTTCAGAGGTACGTATCGGGATGACTCTGGTCTCGGACCGAAAATTTTCTATGTCGAAATTCAAAGTTTTTCTGAAAACTACTTTTGTTCATGTTTCATGCTGAGCAGTTTTTATAAAGCAGTTTCTTTTACTTGCAAAGCCATTTTCCGTGGTCGCATATTATAATACGGAATTATCAAAAATGTTCTACTCTAAAAATCACAACAATGCGACTCATAAATAATTATCCTTTCCAGATATTTAAAATGAAATGAAATGAAATGAAATGAAATGAAATGAGGTATTTATATCCCGCTCATATGATTAACCAACAACACAAGGAAGGTGGTTAACCATGTCAGAGCGGCTGACTGTGAGTGACTATAACAAAAAGATTTATCATCGATTGATTTAACAATTCACAGACTAGCTGGCTGATTGCTTAATTAATTATAATAATAAAACCAAATGATTATGTTTTACCGTCGTATAAATCTCCGTCAGGGTAAGTCATTATTCCCCGGCCCTGTCTCTTGAAGTCCACTATCTCTCCATAATATTTAGCTCCTCCTGTAATGGGTAACTAGTTAAGAGGAAACTAAGAGGTAACTAAGAGGTAACTAAGGGGTAACTAAGAGGTAACTAAGAGGTAACTAAGAGGTACGGTAACTAAGAGGTAACTAAGAGGTAACTAAGAGGTAAATAAGAGGTAACTAAGAGGTAACGAATAGGTAACATGGTGGTAACTTAGAAGTAAATTAGAAGTAACGAACAGATATCTAAAAGGTAACAGATATTTAACAGGCAACTGACAGATATCTAACCGGTAACTCACATTAGAACTTATGGTACACTGAATGGCAGCAAACAAAATATTATGTAAAAACAAATTTGGTATTTATCTTGGTATTTATTGATATTTATCCTGATATGACATCTTGTCTCAATTTTCAGCAGAATATTGTCTAAGTTACCTTTGCACTCATATTTACAAGGTGGAAGGAGATGGTGAGGTAGTGTTCGTATCAAATCTCCAATCACACCCGGATCCATGGAACTTGTCATCTTTTGGTTTCACTTTTGGTTTTGATTTTTGTTTCACTTTTGATTTCTCTTTCTTGGTAACTCTCTATTTTTCTCTTCAGTTTCTCGTCAACGTCTGAAATTATCAGTTGTTTCTATTTCTCTCTTCAGTTGTTGTTAAAATCACATCAGCTAGAAATTTAAACTTTGCTAGTAAATTTAAACTTTGCTAGGGGAAGAGACAATAATTGTAAAATTTGACTTAAATTGCCATAATACTCAATATATTTTATTGAGTTAAAGAACAAAGCACACTTTAACTGTCTTGTCAGACTGTCGAAAAAATTTGATTATAAAGTCTAGATACAGAGACAGAATTATTTTTACGCTACATAATATACTTTACAATGTCAGTGGATAGGTTTAATGTTTATTTGTGTCCAAAGCCCATGATTTCTCCTAAACAAATGTACAAGCACGGATAAATAAATACAAAGATATAACAGTAGTACTACCTAAACAGTAATACCTAAATATTTCGTGTACAGTAACAAGATGGCTGATAAATACAATTAATATAACTTAAAAATATTCTCAGATTCAGGTTTTGTTTGCAGAATTGAATAATATCATTTAAAAAAACGTAACTACGTGGCAGGTTCACTTCATTATCCAAAAAACACATGCGGAAAATTATTTAATTTAAGTTATCGTTCTTTAAGGTCATAGCTCCATGCTCGTAAAACTTATTAAAAATGCTGAAAAAAACCTTAGACAAAAGCTATAAAAGCAAAAAAAACAATATCAAAAATTAATTATTTTCAAATCTGGAACTACTAAAAGTTAGCTAACGGGAAATTTAGTAGTTAAGTTATTATGTCTACCAGCTATCTAACATTCACTCAATTCAGTTCAACTACAGTTTAATCATCTTATTACTCCGCACATTATTTTGACCTCTATACAGAAAAATGTTTCTTATCTTCTCCTATCGAGCTTAACATATTTTCAGTCTTTTATTTGTTTTGTATCAGAAGATCTTATTATCAAGGTAATCCATCCATTTCTTCTGATAGCATGATCTCGAATGAAAGTGTATGAGTGTACATCTGCATCAGTCATATTTATTCCCATTTCCATTTGAACCTAAGCGTTTTTCTTTTAAGAAATTAGCTTTGTCAATTCTCAGCATGTTAAGCTCGGATCCCATGATCTCGTTTCTCAGCGTCATCTGAAATTTATAAGGTTAAAAATTGATATTTTTTACCAAGCTTAATTCCATTTTGCGCATTACTCAACTTATGGCTTCCAGACGATCTCAAAAGTTCCTCCCAGCTCGCCAGAACGGAACTCGATGTTCCACTTCAAATCCACTACATAATATTATTAGTTAATTTTTGTTAATAATTTACCATACTACACGTAATGAAACAAATAAACCCTTACCTGTTTACAATGAGATAACATCACGTGATCGAATCACGTGTTTTGATGACAAAGCTAGAGACTAAGGGCACACTGCTTTTCATGTGTTTTATAGACTGACCATGAGTTCCTTTTCGCAAATTTTACTACTAGTCTTAACTATAATTCTAAAGATTATTTTTTGTGGGGACTGAGGGCTCATTGTCCGAGAATAAAGCAGACACTCCTGTAATCATAACCGTTTATACACGGTTATTTTAAAACATTTTACATTTTATGCTATTGTGTACAATGAGTATTTTTTCGTAGATTCCAGAAATTTCCACAGTTATTCAAGTGAACAAGTTGTTCTTAGGCACGTGGTTCTGGCATATTATGGTTATCGGACAGAATGAGGTTTAAATCACTTTACATCTTTAGATCTATCGAGTAGTGGCAAAATTTTGCAGCCCAGTGGCGTTTTGTGGGCGACTTAGAGGTGGTGTTATGTTGCCAGCATTGTGGTATCCTTTGTATAACTATAAGTTTTTCACTATCACAATGTTCGTAAAACTATTTCCAATTCCTTTACCCTCCGGGGGGATCAGGTACCAAGTGCCGGACATCACGTCGACTAAGTGTAGTTTTGGATATTTTTCACTAGACCCACCCACCCCCTTTGCGGTACTAACTGTTTTTTTGGATAATACGTAAGACACCCACCCCTTTTGCCGCCTTTTGTGGTACTAACTGTCGAAAAATCGTGGTACTAACTGTTTTTTGGTATATAGAATAAGATACCCACCCAGAAATTGCTTTTTTTTAAAGAGCTCATTTAATTTTTAAAGGAAGACTTAACAAAATTTTAAAAATTTAAAAAAAAACCCAAAAAAAAACTTATAAAAACCTCAAAACCCATTCCCAAAATTGAAATTTGAGGTAAAATGGGTTTTTTTGGGGTTAGACACCCCCTTTAGTACCATGTACTAACTGTTTTTCTGGAAAATGGGCAGTAGACCCACCAGTTAGTACCATGTACTAACTGTGTTTTTAGAAGAAAAAATGACCCACCCACCAACGTGATGTCCGGTACTAAGTGTATGATCTCCCCCCGTACCCTCATGAGCTGTTGTCCGTATAGATTGTCTTAACAATTGATCAATGTTCTCATGGTTCCAAATTTCATGATTCAACCGCGTCACTTATAAGTTTAACAAATTAACTCCTAACTAACCTTATGAGCTTATAGTTATGCCTAACTAACCTTGCATAACACATTACACATTATTTTATTTCCTCATCTTTGCCTTTGTTCATCTTCTCGCACAATTCCTTAAGTGGGGTAAGTCATCGTCATGTGAATGTTTCCAGTTTTCCCTACATTGATTGGGGTGTCTATAGTGGTCAAGTTTATGTCTAGTGGTCAAGTTTTATATGTCTACTTCTAGTGGTCAACTTTATGTGTAGTGTCAACTTTTACAACGTTTTTGGCTAACAATGTTACGTCAGTAGACGAGTGCGTTAAGAAATGCTTGTGAAAGTGGATTCCTGGAACCGATTGTTTTCCACGGTTTATGCTACCCTGATCACTATGAGCTTAACATATTTTTTTCGGTTTACTTTACTGAAATCCGTACCTATTAATAATACCTACCTCTCGATATTTGACGGCAGAAAATGGAACTGGTTTGTCACTGAACTGGTTTGTCACTGAACTGGTTTGTCACTGAACTGGTTTGTCACTGAACTGGTTTGTCACTGAACTGGTTTGTCACTGAACTGGTTTGTCACTGAACTGGTTTGTCACTGAACTGGTTTGTCACTGAACTGGTTTGTCACTGAACTGGTTTGTCACTGAACTGGTTTGTCACTGAACTGGTTTGTCACTGAACTGGTTTGTCACTGAACTGGTTTGTCACTGAACTGGTTTGTCACTGAACTGGTTTGTCACTGAACTGGTTTGTCACTGAACTGGTTTGTCACTGAACTGGTTTGTCACTGAACTGGTTTGTCACTGAACTGGTTTGTCACTGAACTGGTTTGTCACCAGACGTGGCACACCGATCGCTAAGACCTTTAATTTAACGGTCTTCTAGCCCGGCAAATTTTGTTGAGCTTACAACTTAGTAAAGAACTGACGCCCTGTTGGCACGTTCCTCATCGAGTGAAGACTGTCATTGGGCGTTGGCTAAAACCCAAAGTTCAGTTAACAGTCTTTACTACTGACTAAGGAGTAGCACAACATTCCTGATGCTGCCCCCGTGAACTCAATATCCGGTTACCAGATCAAGCAGGTTGATGACTTCAAATACTTGGGCTCATATATTGCAGAGAGCAGGAAGGACTTCAACACCAGGAAAGGCATGGCTTGGTCAGCCTGTATCAAACTGCAGAAGGTATGGACCTCTGGCATTTCTGACCAGCTGAAAGTCAAGTTCTTCAGAGCATGCATCGAACCTGTTCTGCTGTATGGCTCAGAAACCTGGACCTTGAACAAGCAGTTTGAGAAGCGTCTCGCCGGGTGCTACACCAGGCTCCTAATGAAAGCCAGGAATCTTTCATGGAAGAAGCATCCAACCCTAAAGCAAATCTATGGTGACCTCCCTTCCATCTCCACCATCGTTGCACAGAGACGTGCCAGATTTGCTGGGCATTGCATGAGAGCTTCAGACCAGGTCATCTCTACCATCCTTCCTTGGCGGCTGCCACAGTTCAGGCGTGGGAGGAGACCACTCTCTTTTCTTGACACCGTAGCCAGGGACACAGGGTTGCGGGTAGAAGATCTCCGAACAGTTATGTGCGACAGAACCATCTGGAGACGTAGAGTGGAGGAGATTTCGATCGAGCATCGCCCAAAGTAAGTAAGTAAGGAGTAGCAGAGACTCCTGCTGAGAAATGGCATATTGTTAAAGCGATATAACTGCGACCATGGTGTGCTGGTGATTTGCTTTAGATTTTAACTTAAAACTCGGTGAATAACTGGCTGATCATGGTGGTGGTGTTGTTTATCACATAGAAGACCGGCACACTTCTAGTTATCCACTTCTAGTTCTCCTCTCACACTTCTAGTTCTCCGCCCAATTTGAAAAATCACGTGATCTTATTGAACCAATCAAAACACTGAGCTTCAACTAGTTTGTCACGAGACGTGGCATACCAATCGCTAAGTTATTCTAAGCCCTTTTAGCGGTCTTCTTGCCGGGCGATGAATATAATGTTTTTGTCGTAATATAGGGCACAACTGTGAGCTAACATGATGACCTGTCTTCAACCACCCATTTCTCCTCCAGGGTTGTCACTAGAACTATTAATAGTCTTCACTCATGTGTTCCACACGTCCCCATTAGTTGACCTGTATTGTCTGACAGCTCTAGATACTTAGACTCTTGTCTACTCAGTGATTACACGTCAAACTTCATGCACATTTTTCTGTTCTGTTTAATCTCCACGATATTAGAGAGTTAGCACGATATTAGAGAGACAGCTCATCATTATAATCTTTTTTCATTTTCTTCTCTTCTCTCTATAAGACTTCATAGAAACCTGTGCTTCAACCGGACAATCTGTTAGCCGTGCGGGCGCCACACTGCCACATCACAAACCCGTATTTCATGTTTACTCGAGCTGTTCAGCTGAAACTGCAGTATTTGAATATAGTTAACTGGAGTACGTGTTATCAGGGGTGTAGGAATGATTTTCTTCATGGGGGGGGGGGGGGGGGGGGGGGGGGGGGCCAAATTCTAAATATTTTTTGGCGCTTCGCACCAAAGCCTTAATTTCGGGGGCCTCACGACAAATCGCGATTTTTTTTCAGTTCTCCACGTCATATTTCGCATTTTCCTTTAAATCTGAGGACCAAATATCACGTTTTCTATAATTAGTATATGAAACCAATCAGTGTCACTTCCACAACCTTCCAAATGTAGGTACTTCAAAAAAACCGAAAAAAATATTTTCGGCTCAGAATGATCAGGGTAGTATAGCAACAAAAGTAGTTTCCAAGAAAACTTTGAAAATTTTTGACTTCGAAAATTTTCGTTCCGAGTCATTCTCGAAATTACGTACCTCTGAAAGCAGAGCTCCCGCTTCCGATCTCGTATTGCGAAGGGGAGGCCAGCCTTCCGAGATCCCATTACAAAGGGGAACCCTCGAGTCCAAATTCGTATATCGAACCTCGAAAACCGAAAAAATATTTTTGGCTCATAATGATCAGGGTAGCATGAAACATGAACAAAAGTAGTTTCCAAGAAAACTTTGAAAATTTTTGAATTAGAAAATTTTCGGTCCGAGTCATTCTCGATACGTACCTCTGAAAGCAGAGCTCCTACTTATGAGCTCGTATTGCGAAGGGGAGGCCTGCCTTCCGAGATCTCATTACGAAGGGGAACCATCGAGTCCAAATTCGTATATCGAACTTCGAAAACCGAAAAAAATATTTTTGACTCATAATGATCAGGGTAGCATGAAACATGAACAAAAGTAGTTTCCAAGAAAACTTAGAAAATTTTTGACTTAGAAAATTTTTGAGTTAAACATTTTTTGACTTGGAAAATTTTCGGGAAAATTATTTTTCCAAAAATTTTTAGAAACCTAAATTAAAAAGTTGGCCCTTTTTGGCCCCTTGCCCAGATTTCATGAGGGGGGGGAGATGGCCCCCCCTGCCCCCGCTTCGTACACCCCTGCGTGTTATTCGTATATTTCTTGATTCGTTTCATTATCGTTTATAATTACTCAAGCTGGTTAAGAATATAATTAATAAGATTTCCTTCTATAGTATTCGACTTTCCAATTGACACCATTTCTAACTTACTACGGTATTACTTAGCAATATTTTCGCAATTGTTGCTAATAGTAATACTCACAATAATCTATAATCCTGTGTCTGGTTAAAACCTGGCGCAACTTAGCGAGTTTAGAAGGTTTGTAAAGTTATTAATTGTGCTCCCTAGGGTCTTTTATACTTCAACCATAATTTGGGTGGATGATTTTTCATGTATCTTTAAACCTCAGCTACGCCCTTTTTAGAGTACGGGAAAACTATCGCGATATAGTAGTTACTTAAATCTGAATATATTATTTTATGGGGGTTTCTAAATGACCTTCTAGTTCTATGATACAATCAGTATACCAGGGTAAAAATGAACTAATTTTTACTGAAGAAACAAAATACCTTAAAATGCTCCTGAAGATTGTAGGACCTTCTCGTTCAATAATTATAGATTTCAAATGGTCAAGTGGAGTGGAAGTCTAATCTATCATTGTCTAATCCATCTCAACTGTTGCAATCTTCAAGAGTAGGCCGTTTTATCCTGATTTCCGAACATTAAATCCTCCTTGTTAATTCAGCGTGATTTGAGTATTTAATTATTTGACCTCCACGCAACCCGCTTCTTTGTGATATAATATCAGCTACACAACATAGCAAATACACATTTTAAGTACCCTCGCTGTGTCTTGACGGTCAGAACACGCTATAAGTAGCTACTCTATGCGTTAATAATTAACTTAATTATGTAATGCAACAGGTCAGATGATATTCTTAATGCCTGTTAGTCTAATTATTATATATGTACGATGGTAAAATAATTATATAAGCTAAAAGTTTCATCCAGAAAAAAAATGCAAAAGAAACGGTACCTTCTCATTCATGATCCTGAGAAGCCAAACAACAATACTCAGTATAAAGACAACTGGAACCACGACAGCAGCAGAGAGGATGACATGGACAATCTCCCTTGCTTGTGTGTTCCAACCTTCTGACATTTCCCCCCACGTGTCCCACATATTGTCGAATCTGAGATAAAATATTCGGTTATTTTGGGAAATTTTATAAGTTATTTTGCTTATTAGTATCAATTATTTATTATTATTATAAAACAGGATCTTACCGACAAAAATGATTCTTAAAAATACCTTAATGCGGTAAACTGTACCCTTGAAAAAGATTTTCCCAACATCTGTTGCATGCAGCTATATCTCTAATTTCGTTCAATTCATGCAAGTTGTCTATTTGCAAATTTCTATTACTTAAATCACTTCTTAAAACCGATAACAAGTTCATTCTAGGTCTCCCCAATCTACCAATGAATAAATTATCTGATTCAATTGCAAAAGAGAGAGCCGTTTGGGCTGGGGTGTTCTCCATACTCCTGAGAATGTGTCCAAACATCTTCTTATTTAGAAAATTTTATAAATTATTTTGTTTCAATAGCGAGCTTGGTGGTTATTATAATTGGTACACAATAGTTTAGTCAGTAGTGGTGGTACGTTAAAGAAACTCTGCCATATTGCTTTAGTGGTTCTGGTATTGGTCATGATGTGATGAGGGAAAAGCTCAACTGACTCCGAAAACACAAAGAAATAAAACTTATATAAAACTATATATAAAACTTGTATAAACTTATATAAAGAGTCTACCGGAAGGTGAGGATAGTTTCACACGTGAACTTTTCATCTGATGAGGGCGGAAGTAAACTGACCACAGCTATACTTAATAAACCATATCATTTAGAATTCAGTAAATTATTAACTTATTTTTGTTTTTTACGTTTTGAGTACGTCTTGCTGTCTTGAGAGTTGAGTGCTTTCTCTCAGCTATTATAGAGGGATCATGAAATATTACACGGCATTTATTTTAACGGATCAGGGAGTAATAAACAGCATTAACCAATATTTCCCGGGCCAATATCATGGGTCTCATGGCCTAATTGGGGACGTTCATCGAAAATAGATATATTGACTTGGGCAATATCTTAACGTTTTACACGTACGCGTTTTCAAATAGTGCCAGGCGTTCGTGGTTAAAGATTAGCCAGTTAAACTAGCCAGTAAAACTATGAATACTCTTCTTCCATAGATAATGGATATATAGACTCAAGACTAACCAGACTTGCCTATAACGAATGGTTGCTGCATCATGAACTTACTGACTAGCGTCAAATTATCGTTATTAGAACTTTATCAGCTTTAGAAATTATAGTTTAATAGATTGTGATGCCAATGACATGTTTTAAGTCCAAGATGACATGTTGTTTAAAGTTCTTCGTGAATTGTTATTTGAGTTTAAAAGGTTTTGAATGCAGTCAGTTTAAAACATAGCACATCATTCGCTTCAAAGGATTGAAGGAAAAAATGTACATCGGACACCGAAATGATTGATACATTTGTTTGTATGTACAGCATTGACGGCCTCTATAATATTGACAGTTAGAACTTGGAACCAGCTCATCAGCATACCAACAACTTGCATTTGTTTTAGGGCAGTTCTGAATGCTGGCACCTTAGAATTCTATTAACGTGATAAGGTCACCACTAGTAAATTTATTAATATCATTTTGAGCTGAATCCCTTTACTATTACTTTGATATATTCAAACACCGTAGTGCAAAAATGAAGGTGTTTTTCGGAGTTTTGATCGTTCTGGTAGTTCTCACTTTGGCTGAAGGAGGTAAGAAAGGAAAGCTGGATCCAGGAGCCCGCAAAGCAGCCCGCAAAGCAGCTAGAGCAGCAAGGAAATGTAACAAGATGAACAAAAAGTTTGAAGGATGTTTGGAAAAGGGCTACAACTCTATTTGTGACGAATCTGTTGATAACAATGGTGAGTTTAAAGCCTGTTTTAATAAGAGATAGATTAGCCAACAAAATTCCTCCGTTTTAAATATATATTCGTTGTATCATTGTATTAGAATTTTTCAGTACTAGTATAAAATAGAACATTTTGATTTCCAAATTTTTTTATTAAAAATATTTATATTATTATAATAATACGTAAGGCTTATATTTCAGAGGAAGAGGAAGTTGTTGTAAATCATTGTCCTACTGATTTTCCTAACGTGTACTACAACGGCCAGCACTGCTGTGCTTCGAACATGGAGAAGGTCTACGCTCCTCAGGGTGCCCAATGTGACGGCAGTGTGATTCAGAGAGACAGTTTGTGTTGCGCGGGAGACCAGCACACACCCTGCCCCGGTGGAAACTGTGAGAGCAACCCAGCACCCACACCAGGTGAGCTGGTCGTATAATTAGTATAATGAGTATAATTAGTTTAAATAAGCTTCAAATCTTGATGTCCTTTAATTAGTTCATTCGTCCGGAGAGAGGATGCAAGTTGATCTTACGGACTTAGTAGACCTCAAGAAAAAGGACATTTTAAGAGGAGCATCGTATCTAGTTATTAGGTGCACCTAATAACTAACTTTAAGAGAAGAACCTTAAGAGCGTATGTAAGATATCTCTGAGAATGGGTACAAAGTTATGATCAGGTGTAAGAATAATGATGAATCAAAGTAAGTTAAAAATGTTTCCTAGAAACATTTCCTACGTTTATTTTCACAAGACTTACATATCTATTTATTTATTTAATAAACAGCTTATATTTCAGATATACCTCAATGTCCTGCTTCTCATCCTAACGTGTACTACAACGGCCAGCACTGCTGTGCCTCGAACATGGAGAAGGTCTACGCTCCTCAGGGTGCCCAATGTGACGGCAGTGTGATTCAGAGAGACAGTTTGTGTTGCGCGGGAGACCAGCACACACCCTGCCCCGGTGGAAACTGTGCAAGCTACCAACCATCTAGGAGTAAGCGAGGTAGGTGATCTTTCATTTGGTCTAGATTCAATTTTATCTACATTAAAAACTGATCTTCAATTAAAGATTAGTTTTTAAGCTTCAGATCTTGATTGATCTGCTTGGTGTGGATTAAATGCTGTTTAATATCTAGCTGTCACTTAAGGAACTATCTGATACTGACGTTGTATTTTTATCCTGTAGAATCAGAACCTGAGGAAGCACCACTAAGTAAGAAAGAGTTGAAGAAGTGCGCAAGAGTCGAGAGAAACCTTATGAAGAAATGTGACTACGAGTGTTAAATCTGAGGAGATGACCACGTGATGCCCATATAAGTAGATGACCACAAAGTTTATTTTTTAAATTAGTTTATTGACATTGTTTTAGATAATTCACCATGTTGTGGTAATTGTTATAGAATATTGATATTTAAAATGTGTTTTCATTAAACTTATATAATATATATGATATTATGTTTGTGGTATTAGAATTTTTGCAACCATTTCCAATCGTATCAATTATTATTATAATTCAAAATTAAAAATTTTAATTCAGTTAACTTGTAACAATTTACTTTGAAATACTTACGAATTTCTCTTTGTTTCATCTAACTAAGTGCGCGACTATAATTCTCCAGACTTAGTGATAGTGAGTGCGACGTTATAAATTACAAGTTTAATAATTTATAGTCTCTCATTCTTCAGTTTAAGTTCCCTTCTTTATATTTATATTTATGAATATATCATTTAATCCAGTGGAATGTAACATGAGGTATATACGAAGTACACATCCCGGCTTGAAAACGGTCAAGTTTGGAGTTTCCATAATAATTGAAGGTCATGATTGGTCAATTTAATCTTCACATGAACTTATTTTTATCTAAATCTTTTCAAACAATACATAATTATACAGAATTGAATGCAGATATAAAAGGAGAAAACCGATATAGCCCAAATTTCCAGTAGCCCAGTATATCGAAACCCAAATTAATATAATAACCCTAATGACCTCTACGTTTACCACATTAAACTTGTTCAGCTACAACACCTCCTGTATGATGACAATTTGATGCAGTTGAAGTGAAGTATTAATGTTAATTCCAATGCTCATTTGTTTGAGTCACAAAAAGTCAAATGATAAGAAATGAGTGATTTCACAATATAACATTTGAAACCAAAATCTCATAACAGCTCATGCAATAGTTTTTGTGATATATCAACGATGATAATAAGCAAGTAAAGAAGAAATAAACTTATCGAAATAACTTAAATATATATCCGAATCATTGGTAGTCAATCAACATGCATGTTTTCAGTCCAACAACTCAGTAACTCGAGTCGTTAACAGCTCATATTACGACTAATGAGTCCTCCATTTTCCCGGGGTCCCAGTCCACCATTCTGTGTCTTCAACCAGCAGTAGTTATCACTCTTCCTCAAAGTAAAAGATCTGCAGTCAGCAGCATCAAAACAGCTCTGGTTACAGTCCTCGTAGCTGGCAGATCTGAAGTTCCTCAGGTCGGCTCCCCAAAAGTCAAAGTTATCCCTGGCACAATCTCTGGAAGCAGGGTTAAACTCAGGAGAACAATCAATGTTCATGCTAACAACAGCTCCATTAGGATTAGGTCCACTCTGCCCTCCTCTCTTCCTCTTCAGCCAGCAGTAATTGTCTGATTTTCTAAGAGTGAAGGACTGGCAATCCTGTCCCATCCTGCATGCTCGAGCGCACTCATCCAGACTTCCTGAGTTGAAGTTCCTCAGATCAGCCCCCCAGAAATCCTTGTTGTCCCTTGCACAGCTCAGGTCTAACTGTGACGTGTCACACTCCATATTCCTGCTGATCAGACCTCCATTTGGGGAGGGTCCAGTCTCTCCACCAAGTTTCGTCTTTAACCAACAATGGTTATCAGATTTTCTCAAGGTAATGGACTTACAGTCAGCAGCATCACTGCAAGCGGTGGCGCACGCCTCGTAACTATCAGAGTCAAAGTTCCGGAGATCAGCCCCCCAAAAGTCGTATCCATCCAGAGCACATGACTTGTCGGAAGCTTGGAGACCGTGTGATGGAGCACAGTCAATGTTCATGCTGATAAGGGCACCATTAGGATTAGGTCCACTCTGTCCTCCTCTCTTTCTCTTCAGCCAGCAGTAATTATCTGATTTTCTAAGAGTGAAGGATTGACAATCCTCGGTGTCACGGCAGTGTCTTGCACAGTCGTCAAAGCTTTGTGAGTTGAAATTTCTCAGATCTGCTCCCCAGAAATCGTAGTTTTCTCTTTTGCAGCTGCTATCCAGGTCAGAAAGATCACATTTCATGTTCATGCTCGTTAAAGCAGCGTTGATAACTGGTCCAGTGTCACCACTGTTCTTATTCTTCAGCCAGCAGTGGTTGTCTGAATTCCTAACAGTGATAGATTTGCATCCCACTTCTTGGCTACATGCTGTGGCGCAATCCTCAAAGCTAGCGGCCCGAAAGTTTCTTATGTCAGCGCCCCAGAAGTCAAATCCAGCTCTTTTGCAGTCAAGATTGTACGGAAGTTCTGGTACTGGCGGTTCCGTGGGCTCTGGTTTAGGCTCCGTGGGCTCTGGTTTTGGCTCCGTAGGCTCTGGTTTCGTGCATTCGTAATCACATTTCTTTAGTTTCTTTCCGAACTTAGCGCACTTCTTCGAGTCCTTCTTGCTCAATTCACCATCTCCAGAGGCACATCCATCGGACTTGTACCCATTCTTCAGACATCCTTCAAACTTCTTGATGTTCTTTTTACAACTTTTCTCTGCCCTTAGCTGCTTTGCGGGCTGCTTTGCGGGCTGCTGGATCCAGCTTTCCTTTCTTACCTCCTTCAGCCAAAGTGATGAATACCAGAACGATCACAACTACGAAAAACACTTTCATCTTTTATTTCAGAGTGTCAAACATATAGTAAATTTGTAGAGCTAAAAGTGATGTTAAAAAGGTTAATGATAGTGTTATCAAAAAACAGCTAAAGTGCCTGCATACAAAGCTGTACTTAAATAAATTCAAATCGCTGGTAAGTGGCAAACTGATGAGTTGGTGAGCACTGGCAAACTGATGAGTTGGTGAGCACTGGCAAACTGATGAGTTGGTCACAACATAGGGTTGATAAAACTAGGCTTAGTACCATTCCTTATTTATTTTCATTGACAAAGTGAACGTAACGCTAAATGCTGCTAAGTCGCATGTTATCATCAAAGCATAGAATTTGCCAGCTAAACACTGGTAGTATTTCATTTTTTCATGTTGACCAAGAAGCCTCGGTTAACATTGATCACTATACTAATAATGTGATCACCATACTCACATTGATCACTAATATTTGCCTAATTTATATGACAACTATGACTATCAAAACGTGACGAGATGGTCTACTGAGCTAAATCTGCACGTGTATTAAATGATGATAAGTTAGGGGCGTTTTTATAGGTTAACACGTGATAGGATAGGGGCGTTTTTATAGGTTAACACGTGATTTGTCCGATGCACTCTATTTGATGCCGTTTTTTGTTCAATACTAAAGTACTAAGTAAGTAATGATGTGCCAAACCTCACTTTACAAAGTGCAAACAATATTTTACAGTCATTGGTGATAATGCATTGAACTTGATAGACTTAAAGTTTTAAGATACCATGATTCAGAGTATTACTCGAGAATAATATTTTATATTTTATAATAAACTACGTATATATATTCAATTTAAATATGTTTGTTCGATTTGCTGTACATTTGTATATTTGCTATTTTGTAAAAGTTTCAAATCAAAAATCATTTATAATTTTAATATTCAATAACTTACTTTAATTTATATTCAATAACTTACTTTAGTTTATATTCAATAACTTACTTTAATTTATATTCAATAACTTACTTGGGGCTCTTCCAGGGGCCACAATCCACCGAGATGCTAACAATGATGAAAACCGTGCTTCCAAACATTAATATAATCGTTATAGCGAGGAACAAGTTGAAAAACATGGAGTTATTGGAGTTGTAACGCTTGGTGGGTGGCTGGCAACAGCTCTTTATTAGTGCCTGGAAAAAATTTTCATAATTTATACAAAGCTCTTGATGAGTGCCTAAAGAAAATTTCCATAATTTATATAAGTTTCAATCTTGAGTAATTTTTAGATTTTAACACTACTTTAAGATACCGCGTAACTTCAAATCTCAACATTATCCTTGAAATTCCATATTAATGGGAAAGTAAGATTAAGAAGATTCTTACCGACGATATGGCGAAGTAGATGAGGTTTGAGATTATTCCCATTGCACTGAGTAGAGGACAGAAGAGATTTCCAAACCAAATGCAGCCCTAAATTGTTTAAGTATATTAGAAACTGATAGTAAAACCCAGATTTAAGCTTATAATAATAATATAGTGGATTTTGTTAAATAACCAAATAGCCATACTGACTAAAATAAACAAGATCCGTCCCATACCACAGACTAAAAAACAACACCTGCACCATGAGATGATGAGACATGTGTGCCCCCCCCCCCCCCACCAGTTTACCAGTTGACTAGTTTACCTGAAAGTAGATGAGAGACATGTGTGCCCCCCCCCCCCACCAGTTGACTAGTTTACCTGAAAGTAGATGAGAGACATGTGTGCCCCCCCACCACCAGTTGACTAGTTTACCTGGAAGTAGATGAGAGACATGTGTGCCCCCCACCACCAGTTGACTAGTTTACCTGAAAGTAGATGAGAGACATGTGTGCCCCCCCCCCCACCACCAGTTGACTAGTTTACCTGAAAGTAGATGAGAGACATGTGTGCCCCCCCCACCACCAGTTGACTAGTTTACCTGGAAGTAGATGAGAGACATGTGTGCCCCCCCCCCACCACCAGTTGACTAGTTTACCTGAAAGTAGATGAGAGACATGTGTGCCCCCCCCCCCCCCCCACCAGTTGACTAGTTTACCTGGAAGTAGATGAGAGACATGTGTGCCCCCCCTCACCAGTTGACTAGTTTACCTTGAAGTAGATGAGAGACATGTGTGCCCCCCCCCCACCACCAGTTGACTAGTTTACCTGGAAGTAGATGAGAGACATGTGTGCCCCGGGCCCCCCCCCCCCCACCAGTTGACTAGTTTACCTGGAAGTAGATGAGAGACATGTGTGCCCCCCCCCCCCCACCAGTTGACTAGTTTACCTGGAAGTAGATGAGAGACATGTGTGCCCCCCCCCCCCCCACCACCAGTTTACTAGTTTACCTGGAAGTAGATGAGAGACATAAGAGTGCTGGGTAGGTCCACCTCTGTCTTCTTGTTGAGGAGGTAGTAGAAGGCTGGGTACTTGGAGAGAGCAGCACAATTACTCAGAGTGTTTATTATTACCAGCTTGTAGAACTCCTTCAGGGGAATGGTTAATGTTAGGCACTTTATAGTGGGTAGCAATTGAAACGTACAATAATTCCTTGGTAGGAGCCTTTTCCTTGTCGCAACAAACGGGATCAATATAAATTATTCCCCAGAAACATTACAACTATGCGTCTAAGAAATAATGTTCCGATCCAGATATTACATAAACATGATATCTATTTACTAAACATATTCATTTATTAGAAATATTTATTTTTTGACTAACCTGACCCCAGTAGAGCTGCGGACATGACCCGGAATCACCAGCAGCCTTTATAAGAGTAACAATAAAGGTGATCAAACTAATCATCCTCATTACATAAACACGTGTCAGGGTCACATACTGCTCAGTGCGTCCTATGTCATAGCTCTCAATCAGTGTTAGCTGCTGCATTAGGAATGGTACAGCTCCGTTTATGGCTGTCAAGGCAATGGTCGGTCCGTATACGTTGAAGAAGCCGCCTTCTTCAGAATCAGAGCGGTCCACTACAAATATAATAGCGGTGATGGCACCAGCGATTAGGATTGCCCAGATGAACCACGCTAGAATACGCAGCGCGAGGATAATCCGCTGTTCCTTGATAGTGCGCTCCTTCTTAGCGCTTGTCAGCTCACAGAGCAAATCCTTGAAGTTTGAACCGGTTGATTTCTGTTGTTTCTCAATCGCATCATGTGAGTTGATACTGTAGTCCCAGGACGCGAACAAGTTCATCGCTAGAGACCTGACCTGGTCTTGTGACTTTGAGCCGTCCCGTATCGTGTCGTTACCGATTGTCTGGAGAATAGCGAAGAAAACAACGAAGATTGAGGTGAAGTGGATGACGAGGTAGGCTACATACATCATGTAACTGTCGTTAACCACTTCTTCGTATCCTGGGTAGAAGGGTATTTACTTTTATTATTTATCATTTATTTATACATTTTATAGGTTTATATGTATTTAAATATATTTGACAGATGGAATACGGATTCACTTAAGGCTCAATTGGATCCACTTAAGACTCAATCGACACGACTATAATTAATTGATAATAATAGTATTTTAAACGAAGTCAATTGTCAAAATTAACGTTTAAAAGTAACCCAATAGTAGCCCAAGTAAGTTTATTTTATATATATATAATACAAATAATATATACAGTATTATAATTTGAACGTATATTATATAATATACAAATTATATACAATATACTAACAAGCCCATTGACACAGGGAGGAAAGTAATATAGATAAATCAATCATAATGATTTAATTATCTTACGCTCAATTTTATACGGTTCAGTAACTTACAATTAATGAAAAGTAACTCAATATCAATTCTTTAAAGATCATAATCAATATATTGGAATAAAGTACCGCTGAAAAATAGCCAAGACTTAGCCACCCGGCCCGTTCCTAGAAACAGCTGTATTCCGGTAAAGGGATCGCTTTCTTCAGACAGACCAGAATAGTCGAAATATATTGCCTGGGAATTTGTTATTTAAAGAGAACGTTTAATTAATTAATAACGTTTAATTAATTATTTAATTGTGAGATACTTATTCAAGAGTAGTTAACTGTTTTCAAATTATTGCAGAAATGGTATAGTTTGTAATATAAACACGTTTTCGACAATTAACGGGTATTCTTGGTTAAACAACTGCGGTAAAAACAAACATTAAGTTTTAAATTGTATACATTTTCTTTCTTATCAATTCCCAAAGTACGTATAGTATTACAATTTAGATATAGCCTATAAGTGAATAGTTGACCCAAAAAGAAGTTAGAAGAGTTAAAATAGGTATTCAACACCCAGCAGTGATCTTTAAAGGAGAACACACAGTGTTTTATGTCAAGTCTCGCTTGTATGACTTAAATCTTTTTTAATTCGATATTTTAATGTCGAAGCGTGTAATAAATGTCAGAACTTGTTTATTTATTTAAATTTATTTAATACCTGTGGAATTACAACGAATCCAACCCAGAAGATAGCAGAACCAATGTTAATCATGAGGAGGTATCTTACGAAGAGAAAGAGGGCTGCTGTTGATGATCCTAGCTCTCCCTGGAATAATTAATTAACTGATTAAGTTATCTAAACTTAATCACCTTAATTAATCGCAATATATTATTCTCTGAATTTAAAACGAGCTAGCTGCAGTTCACAGTCGCTAGTTGACCAATCTAACCTGAATAGTTTTAATACTCTTCAAGAAGAGAGGAAACTCATAGCGCTCCTGTTTCTGTCGCTCTATAGCCAGTTTCAGGTCGTATACCAGGAGTTGGAACCACCCCATATGCGCACGTTTGTTGTCCCTTCGTATTCTGTGAAATATAAAGTTATGATCCAGAATAACATTGTAACTCGTCCAGCCCCAAGTCGTGGTGCCCCAAAACATTGTACCTCAGTAAGGCTAGGGTTAGGATTAGGGTTAGGGTCAGGGTTGGGGTCAAGGCTAAGGTTAGGGTTAAGGTTAGGGCCAATCTTAGGGTTAGGGTTAGGGCTAAGGTTAGGATTATGCTGTTAGGATTAGGCTGTTAGGGTGAAGGTTAGGATAATGGTCCTCAGGCATGATGTTCTGAATTCTGGGGCTGGACGTCTCGACTATTCGGACAGCTATAATATGTTGCAACTGTATAAGAACATTTAGATTCTCTTGTATAGAGAGAAAAGTCAAAATATATGCTGTAATGTATGTAATGCTGTAATGTATGGGCTTTAACAAATAAAAGCACGATGAGTAACATGTTATCATTTCTGATTCTCCAAGACAAGATTTGAAGAGACTGTGTGAGTTAAACTCTTTGCTCTCCCAATTTTAAGAAACTATGGTTATCTAGTTTCTTACACGTTAAATGATTTGATACTACATATTATTGATGAAAAGTATAGTGATAACTTTTATATCATCTTCAAAAATATCAATCTGAAAAGTGTTAAATGTAAAAACATGCAGCCATGCAGGATGCACATTAAAGACTTAGCTGTACATGTTATTAACGTAAGCTGGCAGCCATAATTCACAGCAAGAAAACCTCAATAGTAAGTATACCAGTTACTAAATTAAAGTTAAAAGCATACGTAACAGACTAAGGAGGCAATTGTGTGAATTTTTGCTTTTAACAGCCTTCCCCGTTCGACTTGTTCAAAGAACACTCGAACATCAGCGCCCTATGTAAATATATAATAGTATCGAAGTAACTGAGTCTTTCAAAATAATAAACGTAAGTTAAGTTATATGCTGCCAGGTTTTGCAATAATATTTATAGTTGAGAAATGAGAAATAACTTTTCATTAACTCAGTTAACCTTGTACACCGTAATAATATTATAATAGCATGTAATTTTATATGATCCTTAAATAAACAAATGATAAAATCCAGCATGCAAATATCCATGCAAGTATATTTGATGCAGCATGCAAGTACATGTTCAAAATGCTAGAATGCGTAACTACTACCGTTCTCCGGACTCCTTGGGGCGCAGACGATTCAGAGTGAATGTCCGGGACAAACTCCTGTTAAACGATTTAAACCGACCGGCCATTTTGCCGCTCATAGTCCGCTTGCTTGCTCTACTAGCCATCAGGTTAACGGAGACTGTGTCACCAGCTTCCGACTGCGCTCTTTTCAAGTGATGGATAAAACATATCAGCAAGCAATATGATTACAACAAGTATAATAGGTGATGTTATTTTTTATCATTCAAAAATAGTCCTGCAACCCAATGTATTTAGTGTTAAGGGGTAGGGGGTTATAGATTAACATGCAAACAAAGTTGATGCTATGCAAGATTCTCTTGCTCAATTATGCAGCACATGTGATTATGTAAATATTACATTGAACATAGGCTGAAATGTTTTCTTAATTTACATTGTAAGTAAGGAGTACAAGTGTAACGGTTATTAATTATTTTTAAATATGGGAGCAGTCTTGTTAAAAAAGGAATTAATCAGAGATTCATATAGCAGCCATATAATGATCAATGGTTAGAAATTAGACTTAGGGTTATGATTTTTTTAGCTGTATTATACAATAACGATTTATTATGGTTTCTATAGGTGCTGGCTTATTTGGCCAATTGACCACATGCACAACTATGTTTGGGTAAAATTAAAATTATCCTATACCTGTTATCAGATATCCCAGCTTCCATTTTATGAAAAGTGTCTACTTCTTCTTCGTCTTCATCTGTCACCATATGCACATTCATGGCTGAAAAATCAGCAAACATTACAAATAGTTTTTAAACAATTATGAAACATGTGATCTTGTCACCTACAGCTAACCAAGACATAACAACACCCATGAAGGCCTTATCGAGAAGTTTGCAAAGTTCCTACCAGATTTTTGCATAGTAGATCGCTTAATGGTCCCTCTCCCAGTTCTGAGTTGCCTTGTCAGTGTTCTGGCTGACGTTGCCCCTGGAACCTGCAACTGGGTCATGTTCATTTCTCGGTCAGATATAGTCAGATTAACAGTTTGGGTTTGCCTGGAGACAAGCTTCGGAGCTGGGGCAGGAACAGGCTCATTGATTTGATTTTCTGCTTCTTTAGTCGCTTGTTCCTGAAATCAAGATATTACAGTTTAATAAACTCTTCCGCAAATTTGCAGGCAAAACAAATCATATAGTGTTGAATTTACATTTACGATTTGTAATCATAGAATCTAACAATGCATTATGCAACCTTGTCAATAATATAGGAATTTGATAAGAATTTGATATGAATTTGAAATGGAATAAGAAGATGACAAGAATAGACAGAGTTCAATGAAATACAAGATGTATAAGTTTTACAGGGAATACAAAGAATACAAGAGATACTTTTATATGATAAAACATGTAACTTTAGAATCTTCCAATTATTGGAACAAGTGATAACTTCCATCGAAATGGGGAAATTGGTCACAACAGCTGATAGATTCTAAAAAAGCTTCACCCGCAAAAGAATCTCAAGTTCTTCATCTACCAGGTTATCATCGACAAGGTCATCATCAACAAGGTCCTCTGCATCGTCAACTTCTATCGTGTTCCTCTTCACCATTTTTTATGAATTTGTAGTTCCCTTATACATTTTTCTGTCTGTTGAGAGCAAAATGTGAGATTTCAACTTGAATAGTGGAATGAAAGGTGATATGATTACTGGATTCTAGCAACCAACCAGTCTGGGGTTTTGGCTGCTGGACCGGATTTTGCCGCAATATTAGTCTATTTTATGGTTAGCTGGATTTTGCCGGACCAGAACCGGTTGTTAAGAAGGGAAATATTAGGCTAAGTTAGAACTGGAAAACTAATCCTTATTTTTTGGGCTTTTATCAATTATAATACTAAAAGCCATGTGGAGTTACACAACAAGACAGAGTTTACAGCTTTCGTGCTCTATCTCAATTTTTACTAAACTTCAATCAATTTTCATCCAAATAAAAGATAAAAGTTAGAATTCTGATATGCAAGCAGCAAGTTCGTCATAGAGAATATGACTTACATAAAACATATTATGTCAGAATTCAGAATTGACAAGCATAAAACCAGACTGATGATGGTTTCTGTTTAGCAGTAGACATAGTTATTATTATTAAATCTAAAATAGTTAATAATTTAACTGATTATTAACAGGCCCCTTAACGTGGGCAATGACATAATAAATTATAATTCATAATAAATTATAATTTATAATAAATTATACGTATATAAACAAATTCGAGTCTATTTTTCAGATTTTGCTAATTGTCTCTTTAGATCTAGACATATAGATAAAATATCAAATCAACAAGCAGTGCGTAAAGACTAGACAATTATATACACAAGTTATTACCAGAAATGATACGCAATTGGCTTATCAAACCAGATCCATTGAATGCAATGGCACATGTGAGACACAGTAGTTCCCTTTTTGTCGTCCAAGTCTGAACATCGAAGCACAATAGTTCCCGATTTAGGGCACAACAGTACCTGCTCCGCATGCAAGCACACTTCATCACTGGACACAATAGTTCCCATCTGATCCAAAACTGGATCGTAATAAAGAGCAATACAAGAGCTACCGTTCGTTATCAGATTTAAGAAAGTGGTTTAACCTCGATGTAAAACATAATTTTTTAAGGATTTGACGAAAAATATGCATGTCAGGATATCGGAAATACATTTTTAAAAGAAATATCTACCTTACTCGGGATTATTATAACCGGGATAAAGTGGTGGGTTTTGGAAGATTCCGCCATATTTTTCCCGGTCAAAAATTTTACCAGTCATAAAAAAACCCGCCGACTCAGATTATGGGGTTCCAAGGGGGTGGTGATCATCATATTTTACCTGAAGTCTCATATGTGCTAGAGAAGACTTTTGAAGCAGTGGATGGAGGGCTGTAACTTTATTGGCGGTTGCTACCATAATTTCGTTATAAAAATCACAATTTGGTTATAGAAATCAGATTTCAGGGTGGACCGTGATTCTCACTTCTCTTGCCCATGAATCAGTGAATCGTAGAGAAGAGAGGGGACATTAGCGATAATGAGAATGAGAATACGCTTTAATGAAGATTTGACTTATTATTGCTATAGATTTATTTTCCTTTAAATAGACGTGTCTTTTTTTCTATTTCTGAGTAATATCAGTAACTGTAAATTGAAATAACTTCTTTAACAAGTAACAAAAACAGAAATTTCGGTTGAAAATTTGTTGATCTCTGAAAAAAAACTTGAAAGGTCGGCCACCGGTAAATACATGACCGGAAAATTTGGCGGGTTTTGGGAAAGTCCGCCATATTTTTCCCGGTCATTAATTTTCCCAGTCATAAATTAACCCGCTATAATATTCCCGAGTAAGGTAGCTAAAAATCCGGCCAAATGTTCGGAAACCGGACCGGAACACGATATAGAAGCTGGACGCGGACAAAAATTTTGTTTTACTAAGATTGGGGACTGGTCACAAACACATAATGCCCATATATAATGATGTAAGGACAGGAAAACAAATTTTTTTAGGAAAACAAATTTAAATTTTGGTATTTATTAATAACAATCAAAACATATCATATCATAAAAATAAAGCCGCGCGTTGGTTGACTGCCTCAGTAAGGTGAATAATATAAGCTCGAAGGTGCCCTGCGCATTTACAAAACCTCATGCGGCGATCACATGATCATGAGGACCTGTGAGCGCCAAATTTAATTTAAAGTTTCTAGAAATCGTACATCACTACGAGTTACTCATGCTTTTTTAATTTTTATAGGAGTGTAGATTGTCAGGTATTTCATTCATTCATACTTAGTCGGTTTAAAGCTGTATATTTAGAACTCACTATTGTTTAAACTATGAAAGCAGAACGTAGGTAATGGACAATATACCGACGACAATGCCAAGGACCCGAGTGCCACAATGACTTTTCCGGATCCGTTTTTACCGAGGGCTTATCCACCAGTTACACATGCTGCATGTATAGTCTGATAATATTTATTTGTTTTATTCTATAGCAGGCATTCTGTAAATTGGAGTGTCGTATTTATTATAAAAGAGCCAGCCAACCTCCGCATTATAATCTTTTGTGTGCCAAGTTCGTTTGTAAAATCTTATCATATAATAAAATTGATCCAATAATATAAGATGAACGGTATATATCATAGCTCATCGTTATTAAAATCCGAATGGATGAATTAATCAAGTAATGTTCCCTTTCAACACAACTAAACAACAAACAAATGCTTGCTCACCAGTGGTGACGCAATCGTAGGGGCATGCAGTTATTTCGGATAACTCTCACCAAGAAAACAACAATTTCAAGAAAACAACAATTTTATTTAGTATCAATTAAAGCAAACATAAATATATTTTATATATAACTAGCAGGACCTTTTTACCAGATATCTTAGGGGACTTGGAGTAGCAAGAGAATGGATAGAAGGTATATACCTAATACAAAAATACGTCAAAAAGAATCCAGGGTGATACAGGATCGGAGAGTGCAGACCGTAAAGTTTACGCACCCACCCTTGCCTCCTAAATTCTTGGTTGGGTAGGCATTTATGCGAACTTGGTCGTTTATACTCCAAGTCCCTTTGTTAAAAAATTAATAAAATTTATCTCAGGAGTTAACTTCATTCAACAATAATAATATCAATATCAATTTATCGCATAAATTTAACTATCGAATACAGGTTTGATTATCGAATATAGGTTCGATTATCAAATATAGGTTCGATCTGATATAAATTTGTAAAATAAAATATTTAATTATTAAAAACATTACATCAAGTGGTTAAAAATGGATCTGAAAGCTTATCAGCTTATAGTTCAATCATGATAGTGATATTAGGTGTGTGCTGCTGCATGTGCAATTTAATTACTGCAATTTAAAATTGGTTGGAGTCCAGGTATCTTTTAAGTCAGCTGCCTGTGATTGTACTAATAGTGCTTTGGTTCTCAATTTTATCAAGTTAATGGAAGTTTCTAGGCAATTGCTTGAAGTTAAAATTTTTTTATGAACTGTGTTCCAAAGCTTGGCTGCATTAAACAAAAAGGTATTTGATTTATTTAGAAGAATAACAGTTAGACTCGTTGCACGGTTTGAAATGTTGATGGCCTCATAAAGGGAGTAGGGGCAGTGGTACTTGATAATCTTAGAGAATTCTAAAATGCAGTGATATTTGTACAAGTTTTGAGCCGTTAGAATTTTTAGTCTATTAAAAATGGGTTTTGTATGCTCCTTTTCAAAGTGTTTATGGTCTAATTTTTGCATACCATACGGTCTAGTACGTGCACATGTTGATTGTTTATCTAAATATGAGTCGAGATCACCAAAAAGGATCCTTACACAGTGCTTCTGTGTGATAAAAAGACTGTCATTTGATCGTTCTTTAAGGACAACGCCCCAAACACTTATACCATAACTGAGATGTGATTCAAAGAGAGCATTATATATTTTCAAATATAGTTCACCAGGTATCGAGTGTCGAATTCTACAGATTGCACCAGTCATGGACCGAAGTTTTTTACGAATGTAGTGCATATGGGCAGCCCAGTTTAACTTACTATCTATAACAATACCTAGGAATTTGGTATCCTTGACTTTAGTAATAACCTTACCATCGATGAATATTGACCTAGACTCATCTAGCAGGTTAGCAAATGGTCTGGTCCTTGCACAGGTCTCATCATATTCAGAGGCAGGTTTAAAATGGATGTAGCAACATTTAGACATATTGATATGGAGTAGATTACATTTCATGTAAATCGACACATGTTTAAGAACTAAGTTTGCTTTTTTGTATGTTGCTTCTCTAGATGGTCCTGATATAAAGATATTAGTGTCATCAGCATAAAGTACAAATTTCACCTCACTGTCAGAAAAACAGTTCACTATATCGTTCATATACAGTAGGAAGAGTAACGGCCCTAGAATTGACCCCTGTGGTACCCCAAATTTCACATCCAGTGTTTCTGATGGTACATCGTTATACATAACATACTGCTTTCTGTTAGTCAAATAGCTTTTAAGTAAGGTAAGTGCTGTGCCCCTAATACCATAGGAGTTTAATTTGCTTAGAAGAATGTTGTGGTCAAGGGTGTCGAAGGCTTTGCTTAAGTCAATGAATATTCCTAAGACATGTTTATTGCCAGCTAGAGTCTTTGTAACGGAGTCTATAGATTTGTGTAGAGCATGAGTGGTGGAATGACCTTTTCTAAATCCAAACTGTGAGTCTGTCAGTACACCTTTAGATGTGAAGAAATTATAGAGCCGTTTGTAAATGATCTTCTCGAAAATTTTTCCAAATAAAGGTAATATTGATACAGGCCGATAGTTTTCGATACATTCCTTATTGTCTTTCTTGTAAATGGGAATAACTTTACCAGTTTTAAAAATAGTCGGGAATGTACCACTTTGTATACATGTGTTGTAAAGCCTGGCCAAGGTACCAGCTATAAGCTTTGATGATTTCTTTACAACAATTATTGGTATGTCACTCGCCTTGCCATTTTGAAAATCTTTGATCACCTCGATGATCTCGTCTTTATTAGTTTCTTCCAGATAAATGGAGTCAGATACTGAATTTGACATGAACTGAGCAAATGATTCAATTGGTTCCAGA